AGAGACATTTTCAGATTTCAAGCACTCATTGGTGTGACAATATGAAACCTGTTCGCACTAGGAGTCAATAGCCACCTTTTAAAAAACGTTTCTTTTGTCTCAAGTCATCCTTTTGGTTTGAAACATGGGCAAAAGCTTGAAAAATATGGTTGTCTCAAGTAACCCAACCCTAGCGTCTGACATGAGACAGTCAAAAAAAAATAAAAAACCCTGGGTAACTCGTTATTCACATAAAACTCAACTTATAAAACCGATTCTACGGGTTAAGACTCAACTTTTGACGTGTTTTAGTCATCGCTAAGTTAAATAGTTTCGAAAATATCGCTTGCTGAAAGTCAAAATCGTCTCAAGTCACCCGATTTTACGGTAATCTTAATTTCTTTTAAATGAGCAATACTCTGAACAAATAAGTTGTATTCATAATTTCTCAAAAATACCGCGGAATACAAATAAAATCAGTAAAGTTCGTTAAAAAAAGTACTATTATCCACGTAAATTTTACGTACAGAAGTTTACTCTTGTGAATCTGGCAGACGTGAAACGACTGGTATTTATATAACAAAGGCGATGCCTGCTCCTACTGATAGGGGGGGAAGCACTCCTGAAATTTAAACGGACTGGATCACATATTTGGGAAATGGCAGCACATCAAAGAAAAAGCACACGTAAAATTGACGTTAGTATTCTAGGGTTAAAGGAAATTATTCCACAAGAGTGCACGTATGTTTTTTGTGTGTATTGGTTGGTATCATCATCATCATCATCGCACAGTATCCTGGATTAACTGCAGAACATAGAGAGCTCCTCAAATTGTTTCCTGGTCTCCCTTTTCTATTCTAGGCCATCCAGTTTTTCATGATTCTTTTCAGGTAGGTCATCACATTACATCAGATAGGAAGTCTGGGACAGTTTTCTGGATCATTCGCACCCCTCAATCTAGCAACATTCCGACATTTTTGGCCCATTTCATCAGCCTGATGGCTTTTGCTCTGCTGGATACTGCACAAATGACCACCTTCAATGCCTAAGAACCCTTGGTTGGTATTTACAGAGAATTCGAATCAACAGATGTTTCATGGATCGGACGCTGTAGTGTCTAAAAAGGTGAAGACTTTTTCAGGAGCTATGATCTCCAACTGCCCTTCAGGCACGCCACAGATCCTGGAAAAGTCTATGTATGCTTTTATCAACCTTCCAGAGGAATTTCATTCAGTTTTTTTCTTTTTCAGGTTTGACAGGTACAGGAACCAGAATTTTGGTAAGGTACCTACTTGTAATTGAGTAAGTTTGGTGTTGGACTTGGCATTTGGCTGTAAGTATTTTCAATAACTTCCTTTTTAAATGATTACACTATTTTTTACTAATTGAAGTTGCGTTTCACTGATATCCAGGGCAACAAATTATGATTTGATTATTTCTTTTTGGTAATTGGTGTCCCCTGGGGAGGCCGTCCACCATAATAGGTTAGGATCCCATTTGTTACACGATTATACTATTTAAGGTAAGTGTAGCAGTGGGGCACTACCGAAGGCCGGCGAGAAATGGCTGAATTATGATTTGCTGTTGGGTATCGGCTGCACAATGTGATTTCAAGTAGATTCAGATTTAGTCTTGAGGCTTAATAGAATATAGCTGAATGCTCTGCAACTCTTCCAGGCCAAATTGTTTTTGTGTTTTCTAGATGAAGGGACAAGTGATCATGTTCCTATTTTGTAGCAGAAATTTTCTTGTTTGAAGAAGATTATTCCAGAAGACAGAAAAGGAACATTGCAAGTAAGTATGCTTTTTTATTGTGTCTAGTTTAGGTTGGTATCACACAGCCTTCTGGGTCTACTACTGAAAATAGATTTACCTACTCAAGTATTATCTCCAGGCATTCGATCCTTTTCTAAGCAGTTGCAATCTGGTTTGCCCTGATTCTTTTCAGTTAGGTCATCAGTCCACCATAGGAAGTCTTCGCAATTTTTTAGACCTTCCGCACCCCTCAATCTCTGGCAATACGTTTGCTCCATTTCATCAGCTGGCTTTCAATCTGTATATGTCGCAAGTCCCTACAGAGAATTTAAATCAACAGAGTTATTTTGGATCAGACGCTGGTGTGTCTAAAAAGATAATTTCTAACTTCAATACTAAACTGGAAAATTTTGTAGGTACTAAAAACTTATATTTTTTTCCAAATAAAGAGACTCTGTATTGTAGCAGAAATGTTCTTGTTTAAAGAAGATTATTCCAGAAAAGGAACAGTGCAAGTATGTCTTTTGTGTGTCTATCATCATCATCATGACACAGCCTCCTGGATCGGCTGCTGATAGATACGCATTTTTTAATATTTTTGTCATGTAGGTCATCGGATCATCGCATTGGGTAGGAAATCTTCTTTTCTGGACCATCCGCACTCCTCAATCTAGTAACATGTCTGGCCTATTTTCATCTACCTAAGAAGCCAGGTGGCTATGGATTCAGCACAAATGACCGCAATGCCTATACACCCTTGGTTGGAATAATGTTCATGGAGATTTCACTATTTTTCAGCTGTGAATAGTTACATGTGCATCAATTCCCAAAACAATTCATGATTTGACCGAATCTTTCAGCATGGGGCCCTGATGGGGAAGCCTAATGCCATAGTTGTCCTGGATCCCTTTTGTTGCACGAACATACTATTTACGGTAAGTGTAGCAGTGGCGCCATCCAAGCTGGCAAGAGGGTGTTGAATTATGGAAAGTGGACGGTCTTCGCTGTACATCGTAATTTCAAAGTGGATTAGGCCCAATGGGGAAACCACTTCAAAAAGAAACGCATCAACAGCTCGTACCTCGAATCCTTAATCTTTTTATTTGCAGGATTTGCAAGAGATGAGATGAGACATGATTACTAATTCGGAAAAGAACTAACACTAGAATCCATGAATCCAGAATTAGGTATGCAATGGTCAGAACTTCTTCCAAAAGAATCTGATGAGGGCTATAATGATAAGATAAAAATAATTGCCCTTTAGTAGTTAATTGTCCAAATTTTTTCATTTATAAAAATTGTTTGTGAAATATTGTTTTTGTAAAATAGACTTTCGGTGTCTGTACCTGAAATTGGAAATTGTTGTAAGAGATTTTTCTCGATTTTGTCACCAATTTTTGGAGCAATTTCCAAATTTCAGAGTCACTGCCCGTTTTACACGAATTTTAAAATAGCCTCCAAGTGGAAGATGTTGACGGAAGGTCATTGAATATACCTTGATTTTGTCTCTAGCATTTCTTAGAGTTAAAGATAGGTATGAGAGTATTTCTTGACTAAGAGCTAAAAGAGCCGCTTATAGCTTCCAGAGACAAAAATCTAGTTGGGAAAAATTGCTTTCCATTGCTCAAAAAAGGCCAAGAGCTGGGTGTTTTTTTTTTTGTTGTATTTTATTTTGATTGGAATTTGCGTTTTCAGTGATTAGGGCGAGATGCGCGTTTTACAAGAAGAAAGATTTTTAAAGGTAATTTTGAATATGCTTGATTGATGAGAAACTTTGAGTAGGTACTAGAAATTGCCGATAGAGAGTTTTTCTACTTTGTTAAGAGCAAATAGAGCCTCCTTATAACAACTTTCAGAGACAAAAAGAAAGTTGAGAAAAGCTGCATGATTTAGAGAGCATTCAAGACTTGATCTATATTGCTTTTTCTCTGTGGAAAATGCGTTTTGGGTGATTAAAGTGTGAGATGAGCCTTTTATAAAAGTTTACAGCTTTCAGACACTGATAAGCCACTTTGGAAAAACTGCTTAATTTTGCCTTATGAAACTCTGAGGGCTGGAAGCTATAAGAGAAGTTGTTGATTTTGTTAAGGGCCAAAGAGAGCCTCTCAAAGAAATGTCCAACTTCCAGTGGGAAAAATTTGCTTTCAGCTGTAATAGTACCTATTGCTTTGTTTAAACTTTAAGATGGACGAAGGGTGTTAATCAAACGACGGCTCGGAATATGTGTGGGCTCTTCTGCCAATTGGGTTAGGCCGTGTGAAATGGCAAATCCTTGTTTCGTTGCGTTAAATTGTTTTGCTCGAGAACTTAAGCCGATCTGAGTTATGAGCATTAAAATCTCCTAATTTAATTTCGGAGTTCGGATTTGTCTCCCGGATAGAATCAAATGAATTTGCCACATTTTCATATAGAGGTTGATAACTGAAGTCGTTGGGTGAAAGATACACGCAGCAAGCACACTTAACTATGTTCGTAGAGAAAGAATTTTTAGCCAAATTACATCGTGATCCAAGATCATCCTCTCTGTGGCGAGAGAAGAGACGCAAATTTCCCTCTTAAAGCAAAAACGCGTATGAAGTTCATAGCTAGGACATAGGAGATGGATTGAGTTGACAGACGATTTTACTTGCGTCTCCGAGACCAGCACATTATGTGGATTTTTATGCTCATGATGTTGGTGCACTGAGTTTGAAGTTGGCAGTAATACTTCTGATGTCAGATAATTCAATTATTAAACTTGTTGTAGACTCCCCTCGTACCCTCCTCCCGGAGATCTGAATGGGAGGAAGGATAGTGTTGAAAATTGACAGTCACGCTCCAGGTCCAGACAATTCGAATCGAATTTACAGGACCAGGACCCAGAATGACAGCGATGATTTTTCATTACTTATTTTATAAATTGTCTAGTACCCAGTACCCATGCTCTTTAGTGTCACATTCAAAGTTGAATCGATAGCCCGTCGTAAATATTTCGAATTTTGCAAAGAGCACTAAATGGTAACAGGGCCTCGCTCTTCTGCAATGGCAACACTCGACACAATCGGACAGCCATTTCCATAGTCTAATATAATTAGCATCAAGCGTTTTTATTACGCAAAATAGTGACATTACATTTAGGACTGAAACATCTACAACACCGAATTAAGGCGGCCAAACTGGACAATGAAAAGAAAAGCTGATCTGGAGCATCACTTACATAACCATTCAAAAAATGCGAAAGTAGAATTGTGTCTTCACTATTGTATTATTGGGGAAAAAATCAAACGTGTTTGAAAAAAGTAATTTATTACCCTTAAATCTTAAAAAAAAATTGATACAAAATATGTCTTAAAAATAAGTCCTTAAGTATATGTAACATTTTTTCATAAAAAAATGTTGTATTTTTGGCATAAAATGATTGCAGTAGTCCTAATTCTAAATTAAATAGGTTTTCTTGCCTAGAAATTATTAATATGGTCCATACGCTATCAGACAAAAGTAGAGCAACACTTATAAAATAGAATATCCAACTATCAAAAATAATAACGGAAGCTAAAATACTCCCAGTTTGAAGAGTTGTTTGCTGCTGTCACAGACGAAATTCAATTGTTTTCGAATGTCAAACAATCTTTTATACTTTTATTTGATTTTGATACCAGAAGTCAAAAGCAGAAATCAAATTTCAGAAAAGTAATATTTGTTTGTAAATAAAATACAGATACATTCTCGGATACATAATACATATAAAGCGTCCATTTAGGACAAATAAAGAAAAGTTCAATCCTCTCTAATAAGGAAAATATTTTAATAAATTAAGGAGGGTGAGAATATATAAAAAAAAAAAAAAATAAGTAAATGTTGAAAAGTTTAAGGGCCGCAGTAGTACATAACGAGTACGAAATCACAGAGATCTCGGCCAAAACAGTCTATATATTACGTTATTTTTCACAATATGTCAAGCTTTTGGACTCTTTAATATTGTTAAGTTATAATAGTTATATGGTAATTTATTCAATCAATTATAAAAAGATTTGAATACTTATTGATTAAAACGTAAAGACATACATAAAAAGAAGGAATGTTTAAAAAATATATGAGTTATATGCTAATAAGCACCAGTTTTCAATATAATATATTTGTTTCTATGTCACTGATTGTCAAAGTTTATGTAGAGAACTAATCAAAAGCTTGACATATTATGAAAAATACTGTAATATAGGCCAAGATCCCTGTGATTTCCTCCGCATTATATAAATATAATATACTCCTGGATAAAATTATCGCACCACTGCTTATGGTGTTTATGTGCAGTGGTGGTGCGATAATTTTGTCCAGGAGTATATATAAAGTAGAGAGCTACATTATTGCACAACATATGGATGTACCGTCCATATTCTGATGTGACTGAAATAGACTTACTAAACAGCATAAGTAGCGCTTTACAGTATTGCTGTTATCAACTGGTGACGGACTTTTTTTTCTTTTCAAAGTTGGTCGTTCCTTCAAATAAGAAGGTATAAATGGCATAAATGGCTTATTCACCAAAATTGCAGGATCAGCATGGATGGACCTTCTACGACCCATCCGTCTCCTCAAAGCTCTAGCATATTCACTAAGTATGCTTTCAGGGCTTGCTTCCTCACATTTTAGTGTAGTTTCAGCTTCCTCCTCTTCTGGTATGCATGGCATGATAGGCGCCGAGTTTTAACGACTACTCTGCCAAAAAGTCATAGCCAACAATAGATATCCTATCAAGTATCAAGGTAATTTTTTTCATTATTGATTATTTTATTAAGCTTTCAACTAGAGTAGTTGTTTTTGTGTTGTCAAATGCAATAAAACTTAAGATTTCATGAAAGTTGCTTTACTTTTATCCGATAGTGTAAAATATAAATACATATAAACAATTTGACATTTAGAACCACCAATAAAATTTCATACCTCAGGTCTCTACAAAAATAGTAGTAGAATGACATATAAGAATACTTTTATTTGATACCAGACATCAAAGGAAGATATCAAATTTCAGAAAAGTAATATTTGTCTTCAAATAAGATACATTCCTGGAAACAATATACATATAAAGCGTCCATTTAGGACAAAAACAAAAAAAAATCTTTTAGAAAACTAATTTAGTAGAATAACACAAAATAATACTTTTATTTGATACCAGGAGTCAAAGGCAGATGTCAAATTTCAAAAAAGTAATATTTGTATCTAAATAAGATACATTCCTGGATACATTATACATATAAAGCGTCCATTTAGGACAAAAACAAAAAAAACAAACATTTCTTCTAAAAAACTAAGTAGAAAACTAATTTTGTAATTTGATATGCAAAGTCCAAAGTGCAGATCAAATATTTGGCACGAAATTTCAGTCAAATCAAGAACTGTATTTTCTCTTAATAACTATTTGTACATGGTCTAACCTACAAAATCCATTTAGGACAAATAAAGAAAAGTTCAAAAGGTCAAAAAAAAATTAGGAAAATATTTGGATAAAGGTGAATATATATAAAAAAATAATATATGTTAACTGCCGTAGCAGTAACGAGCAGGAAATCACAGGGATGTAGGACAAGAGAGTCTATATTACATTATTTTTCATGTTACCCATGTTGAGCTTTCGAAGAGTTTTCACGATACAGAAATCAAACAACTATCAGAGCGAATTCCATTCGTGATTTCGTCAGGACCCTTTATTATTGTTAAGTTATATGGTAATTTATACAATTATAAAAAGATTTGAATAGTCACTTACATTGATTAAAACGTAAAGACATACATACAAAGTCAAAAATGTTTAAAAAATATATGAGTTATGTGCTAATGAGCACCAGTTTTTAGTATAATAATTTTTTTTTTGGTCACTAATTGTCAAATTTTATGTAGAAAACCATTCAAAAGCTTGACATATTGGGAAAAATAACGTAATATAGACTATTTCGGTCAAGATCCCTGTGATTTCCTACACATTATATAAATATAATATATACAAATAACGTAGAGAGCTACATTATTGCACAACCCATAGATGTATCATCATCTTTATTGGTGTCTCCATTCGATTCTGACCGAAATAGACCAACTAAACGGCCTAAGTAAGACCTACTCCGCTTTACCGTATTTGCATTAGTTTCGTCAACCGGCGAGGGACTTCTTTTCCTTTTCAAAGTTGGCCTTTCGTTCAAATAAGGTGTTGCGTATGGCCTAAATGGCCTGTTCACCAACGGCACAGGATCGGCATGGATGGACCTTCTACGACTCATCGATTTCCTCAGAGATCTAGCATATTCACTCAGATATGGGGGGCTTTCAGGGCTCGCTTCCTCAGGTGTGAGTGTAGTTTCAGCCTCGTTCTCTTCTGGAATATATGGCATGATAGGCGCAGAGTTTGAACGACTACTTTCCTCAATGGTCGACATTGAATCGGATAATTCCAATGACTCTTCTGAAACAATAACAGGAATTCGTCAGAATCAAATATTTATTTAGTAATTAATTTAGATCAGTTCTAATAATGAAAAGAAAGTCACTCTTTAGGTTAGGAATAGGTTGATTTTGAAAGATTAGTCTTACTTGAATCAGTATCTCGCATATTCTTCAAGGAAGCTCGGGAGTTTGATCGGCTTTTTAGTATTTGTCTCGGTTTTTCTTCAACTGTTGAAACAACAAAATTTAGTCATAACTAAGCACAATTTTCACAATGATTACAATAATAATACTAAAAAATAATAAGAAATTATAAATAAAAAGTACAAGAAACTATTCTAAATTAAAAGACAACAAAACAGATCACAGAGTAAAACGACAAAATTCATAATGCAAACCTATGATGAAATAGAAGCAATGGCTACGTTCACCAGTAACAAAACGGATTGTAAACAGTTTACAAATACCAACAGAATATGTTGGGTAAACTCTTGGTTCTGCTGAACGATTCAACTTTTCAATGATAGAACGTCACCTTCTGAATGACAGGTCACCACACAAAACACGGTGTTGAAAATTATAAACACTCTGAAAATATGCTTGCAAAAATGGCGACCGTTTGCAAAACATGTTTGGTTTTAACACAAATTCAACGTAGCGTTCAGCAAAACAATCGCAAACCGTTTACCAACGTTTGTATCTGGTGAACGCGGCCAATATCACAATGACAGCCTTATTTGTTGCAATCACGCAGAAAATATGTCTACTTGTATCTTGTAGGCATAAGACATAAATAAATGGTTGTATGTTGGCCATATGAGGTGCGATGTCTCTCCAACGAGAAACAGGGTACCTCTCTAAGATTCCTAGTTGGGACATTTAAGTTTACAGCTGAGAGCAGGTTAGGGTAAATCAGATTACCTCTGAGCAACTTGTAAATCAATAACTGATCAATCAAAAAAGTAGAATAAAATGTAAAGGTGAAAAAGCGCGCGCGAAATTTTTTTTTCGGGTGCCACGCCCAAAAACATTTATTTCAAGCCTTCAAAGCTTGTGAAATTGACGCTAAGCTTGAGTGGTTGTCACATGGCACTGCAAATATTAAATGTCATAGACTTCATTGGACAGGTAGTCCAACAGTGTTAGACATTTTAATTATTTGCGATATCATTATCAATAGTCCCTAGCTTGGCGTTCATCAGAATTGAACGCTAATATTTTAAGGGTAGGCGGCGCCTACCTTGCCTACTCTGACGAGCCGCCACTGCTTTTGAGTACAAGTAGTTTTAATATGTAGTCTCAATTTTCAAGAGACTCCATAATTTAAGTTAGAAATAAGTTGCATTCGAAAAGTTAGTCTTACTTGAATTATTACCTTTCATATTGAGCACTTCTTTCAGGGAAGATGGCGACCTTGATCGGCTTTTTTCCATGAGTTTCGGAGCTTTTGCTCCAACTCCTGAAACAACAACATTGAGTTATCAGAATAAAATGTTAACTTATTTGTTTTATTATTATTATTTTGAAAAATTTTCTCACTTTTTCGAAAAGTGGTGTTACTTCTCCGAGATAGCGGGCTGTGCCAAGCTATTTCAGAGTCTACCGCTGGAATTAAGAAAGGATCTGACTATATTACAAGTTTTTAGGATGACAGACTTTTGAATATTTGTGTGAATGTGTGAGTTGAGCCCGAGCTGCTTAAGGTGCGAATCGAACATGTCAGGTGTAATGCCTGTGGTGAATATAACGAATGGTATGACAGTTACTTTTTTTTGTTTCCAGAGCCTCTGAACTTCTATGCCCAATTCTGTGTACTTTGATATTTTTTCGTTATTTATTTTCTCTCTTTTTCTCACTTTGCACGAAGTGGTGTTTCTGAGATGACGGGCTCTTACCAAGTCTTCTCAGAGTCTATTGCCCGAATTAGGACTTTTGTATGTTTATGTGAATGTTAGGGTTGAAACCGAGTTGCTCGAGATGTGTATTAAAGATGTGTGGGGTGATGCCTGTGGTTGAGATGATGAATGGTATGATTATAACTTTTTTTTTGTTTCCAGACTCTCTGAACTTCTATGGCTAGTTCCGAATACTTTGATATCTTCTCATTATATTTGGTCTGAATATTGGGGTCATTTGGTATGGATATGTCTATAAGATGGGTTATTTGTTCTTTTTTCTTTTGGAAAACGATGCCTGGTCTATTGCATGTTATTGTCTTATCAGTGCGGATTCCTATGTCCCAATACAGTTTGTATTCGTTGGTATCTATGATCGTGATTGGGGAGTATTTGCAATATGGTGTTTCGTCTGTGATGAGTTTATATGTTTTTGCGAGTGCTTGATGAATAATTTTCCCTGCCATGTTGCGTCTTTCAGTGTATTCTACACCCACTAATATTTTACATCCACCGGTGATATGATCTATGGTTTCTTTGGATTGATTATATTTTCTGCAGGTGTCGGTACATACTTTTGAGTCTTTTATTATGTATTTTCGGTAGTTTCGTGTAGCTATGATTTGATCCTGTATTTTGAGGAGAAATTCTTCTGTTTCAGGGAAGAGGTTTCCATTTTCGAACCATTTATAAGAGAGTTCTTTTGATATGTGGTCGTGTTGTATGTTGTATCTGTGTTTTCCATGTAGCTGTTTTGTTGTTCATATATTAAGTGTTTCATCTATATTTTGTGTTTAGTTGAATGTATCTGATGAATGACTGGTTGTGGATAAATCTCTGGGTGTGTAGTTTTTGTCGGCTTTGCAGACTGCTTGGTGTAGTGGTGTTTGTTTCCCAAGGAAGAATATCCGAAGTTGTTGGATTTGTTTTGTGTGTAGCTTTTGAATATCTATCATTGCTCTTCCTCCTTCTTTTCTGCTGATTGTTACTCTTTCTTTGCAGGAGTTGGGATGTAGTTTTCTGTGTCTGGTGAGCTCTGATCTAGTGAGGGGATGGAGACCTTCTTCAATTATACCAAAGGAGTATGTAAGTATTGGTATTGCAAATGTGTTAATGGCTTTGAAGAGGTTATTCGAAGACAGTGGCGTTCTTAATACGGCTCGTAATCTTTGTTTGTATTGCTGCGTCAATTGTGTTCTGATATATGTGTGGTTTATTCTGGTGTTTTGTTGGAATCCGAGGTATTTATATGTTTCGTTTTCCGTCATATTGCCCAGGATCTCATTGTTCAATGTTTCTCCCTCTAAACTTTATTTCCATTTTACTCTTTCTATATGTAGTATTTTACATTTACTCATACCAAATTGCATTTGTATGTCCGTTGTAAATTTTTTTGTGATCTTGAGCAGTCCTTTAAGTTGTGTTGATGTTGAAGCGTTGATTTTTATGTCGTCCATATATAGGAGGTGGTTAATTTTATGTTGTGCTACTTTTCTATTTTTTAAGTTAAAGCCGTATTGGGAATCATTTAGTGTGTTGAGAGTGGATTTAGGCACATGCAAAACCATAAGGCACTTAGTGGATCACCTTGGAAGATACCTCGTCGGATGTATAGTTCATCTGTCTGCAGGGTTTCTGATTCTGATGATATTGTAATTTTAGTTCTCCAGGTTTTCATTATTTCTGTCAGGAATTGTTTGAGCTTTGTATCTACTCTGTAGGTGTCCAAGATTTTTATTAGCCAGCTATGAGGTACGGAGTCAAAAGCCTTTTTAAAGTCTATGTAGCAGGTGTGTAAATTTCTGCTTTTACGGTTTGTTTTAAAATGACTGAGTCTATTATTAATTGCTTGGCTGAATTTTCGGCATCCTTTTTGTTCCTCTGTGAGTATGTTATATTGCGCTAGATGTTTTTCTATTTTTTTACATATGGTAGAAGTAATTATTTTGTATAGTGTAGGTAAGCATGTTATTGGTCTGTAGTTAACTGGATTCTTTGTGTCTGCGTTTTTCAGTTTAATATATTATGTATTGCCCTGTGTTAGGAATTTTGGGAATGTGTTTGGGTAGCAGATGCTTTTAATTATTTCTCTGGTTAGTGCTTCGTGTGTGGATGTGAGCTGCTTGTACCAAAAATGTTGTATTTTTTCTGGTCCTGGGCATTTCTACTTGCGAGTATGTTTGATGGTGATTGTGTGTGATCGTATCTTTCTGTTTCTGTTTTGATCCAGTTTTTGCTATCTCTGTCCTGTAGAGGTACACCCCATATGTTTGACCAGAAATCTGTTAGTTCTTGCTTAGTAGGTATCTCTGTTATGGGCTTGTCTTCCTGTGGTAATATGGTTTTATAAAAATGCTTTTCGTTTCTTTTGAATGCTATGTTCGTATTTTTTCTGTCGTTGGACTCTTTATATCTCCATAATCTGCCGGCGTAAACAGCAAGTTTTTGTTTCACGATGTCGAGGGTTTCTGGTTCTGTTAGCATTATTTTTCATCACCTTTCTCATTGTTTTTTTAATTTTTCCTGATGTATTGCCCTTTAAGTGTTGAGTCATGTGTCCTATATCTCTTCTTAGATTTTAAATTTTATTTTCTTTTCTAGTTTGCCATTTCGGTTTATATTTATCTTTAAATTTCCCTGTTTGCTGTGGTATTTTCTGGTCGTTATGTTTGATTATTGTGATTGCTGCTGTGTATATGAGCGTTTGGATGTTTTCTAATGAGCTATTGTGTGTTAGGTATTTAGAAATTAGAGTGTTGGTTGTGCTGATGATTAGGGATGTTTTAGGTTTAAATATCAGCCTTGGGATGGAGTTTCTTAGGTTTGGGTTTGTTTCCTGCCAGTGTGATAGGTTAATTTCCATTTCTTGATTGAGAGTCTCCTCTAGCTGTGGGTTTTCATCTACTAGTGGGTGTATGAGTACTTTAGATGGCTGAGCTATTAGTTGTATTTCGTCAATGGTATCTTTTGTATGTTCTGGTATTTCAATATTCAAATTTGTTTCTTCACTATTATCAATAATATTGAGCTCCTCAGCGACTTTCCTCTTTATCATTGCAAAAAAAAGTCAAAATTTTTCTTAGTTCTGAGTAAGTTTCAAGGAATTATTATATTATTATAATTATTATTATTATTATTATTATCATCATTATTCACAAATATAAGTTTTTGGAAAGGTTTTTTGATATTAAAGTTCAGTAGTACATGGATGACTGGTATTTAAAATACATTGTTGGTCTTTGTACTGATTGTTTGCAGAAATGTTGACATCATTATTTTATTTGTTTTAGCTGTAGATGCTAGGAAAGAGAACTCTATTATTGAACAGGCTATGAATGAGCTGTTTACTCTTTCCAAAAAGACCAATTTAGTTGTGGCTGGATCAGCATTTTTGAATCATAGATAAGTTGCAATTGAAAAGTTAGGCTTACTTGAGTTATTACCTTGAGCTTTGGGCACTTCCTTCAAAGAATTCAAAGAAGATCGCGACCTCGATCGGCTTTTTACCATTCGTCTGGGAGCCTTTTCTCCAACTTCTGAAACAACAAAATTGAGTCATCAGAATATAATCTTAACTTAATTGTTTTATTATTATTATCAATGACTTTAAGTTTTTGAAATTACACTTCAGGATGACTAATATTTCAGATATGTTGTTGGTTTTTGTACTGATTCTAGCAAAAAATTTGACATCATGTAATTTTATTTATTGTAGCTGTGGATTCTAGGAAAGGGAATTCTATTACTGAACAGGCTATGAATGAGCTGTTTACTCTTTCCAAAAAGACCAATTTTGTTGTGTCTGGATCAGCATTGTTGAATCATAAATAAGTTGCAATTGAAAAGTTAGGCTCACTTGAATCATTACCTTGAGCTTTGGGCACTTCCTTATTTCAAGCCTTCAAAGCTTGAGTGGTTGTCACATGGCACTGCAAATATTAAATGTCATAGATTTCATTGGACAGGTAGTCCAACAGTGTTAGACATTTTAATTATTTGCGATATCATTATCAATAGTCCCTAGCTTGGCGTTCATCAGAATTGAACGCTAATATTTTAAGGGTAGGCGGCGCCTACCTTGCCTACTCTGACGAGCCGCCACTGCTTTTGAGTACAAGTAGTTTTAATATGTAGTCTCAATTTTCAAGAGACTCCATAATTTAAGTTAGAAATAAGTTGCATTCGAAAAGTTAGTCTTACTTGAATTATTACCTTTCATATTGAGCACTTCTTTCAGGGAAGATGGCGACCTTGATCGGCTTTTTTCCATGAGTTTCGGAGCTTTTGCTCCAACTCCTGAAACAACAACATTGAGTTATCAGAATAAAATGTTAACTTATTTGTTTTATTATTATTATTTTGAAAAATTTTCTCACTTTTTCGAAAAGTGGTGTTACTTCTCTGAGATAGCGGGCTGTGCCAAGCTATTTCAGAGTCTACCGCTGGAATTAAGAAATGATCTGACTATATTTATTATTATTATCAATGACTTTAAGTTTTTGAAATTACACTTCAGGATGACTAATATTTCAGATATGTTGTTGGTTTTTGTACTGATTCTAGCAAAAAATTTGACATCATGTAATTTTATTTATTGTAGCTGTAGATTCTAGGAAAGGGAATTCTATTACTGAACAGGCTATGAATGAGCTGTTTACTCTTTCCAAAAAGACCAATTTTGTTGTGTCTGGATCAGCATTGTTGAATCATAAATAAGTTGCAATTGAAAAGTTAGGCTCACTTGAATCATTACCTTGAGCTTTGGGCACTTCCTTATTTCAAGCCTTCAAAGCTTGAGTGGTTGTCACATGGCACTGCAAATATTAAATGTCATAGATTTCATTGGACAGGTAGTCCAACAGTGTTAGACATTTTAATTATTTGCGATATCATTATCAATAGTCCCTAGCTTGGCGTTCATCAGAATTGAACGCTAATATTTTAAGGGTAGGCGGCGCCTACCTTGCCTACTCTGACGAGCCGCCACTGCTTTTGAGTACAAGTAGTTTTAATATGTAGTCTCAATTTTCAAGAGACTCCATAATTTAAGTTAGAAATAAGTTGCATTCGAAAAGTTAGTCTTACTTGAATTATTACCTTTCATATTGAGCACTTCTTTCAGGGAAGATGGCGACCTTGATCGGCTTTTTTCCATGAGTTTCGAAGCTTTTGCTCCAACTCCTGAAACAACAACATTGAGTTATCAGAATAAAATGTTAACTTATTTGTTTTATTATTATTATTTTGAAAAATTTTCTCACTTTTTCGAAAAGTGGTGTTACTTCTCTGAGATAGCGGGCTGTGCCAAGCTATTTCAGAGTCTACCGCTGGAATTAAGAAATGATCTGACTATATTTATTATTATTATCAATGACTTTAAGTTTTTGAAATTACACTTCAGGATGACTAATATTTCAGATATGTTGTTGGTTTTTGTACTGATTCTAGCAAAAAATTTGACATCATGTAATTTTATTTATTGTAGCTGTAGATTCTAGGAAAGGGAATTCTATTACTGAACAGGCTATGAATGAGCTGTTTACTCTTTCCAAAAAGACCAATTTTGTTGTGTCTGGATCAGCATTGTTGAATCATAAATAAGTTGCAATTGAAAAGTTAGGCTCACTTGAATCATTACCTTGAGCTTTGGGCACTTCCTTATTTCAAGCCTTCAAAGCTTGAGTGGTTGTCACATGGCACTGCAAATATTAAATGTCATAGATTTCATTGGACAGGTAGTCCAACAGTGTTAGACATTTTAATTATTTGCGATATCATTATCAATAGTCCCTAGCTTGGCGTTCATCAGAATTGAACGCTAATATTTTAAGGGTAGGCGGCGCCTACCTTGCCTACTCTGACGAGCCACCACTGCTTTTGAGTACAAGTAGTTTTAATATGTAGTCTCAATTTTCAAGAGACTCCATAATTTAAGTTAGAAATAAGTTGCATTCGAAAAGTTAGTCTTACTTGAATTATTACCTTTCATATTGAGCACTTCTTTCAGGGAAGATGGCGACCTTGATCGGCTTTTTTCCATGAGTTTCGAAGCTTTTGCTCCAACTCCTGAAACAACAACATTGAGTTATCAGAATAAAATGTTAACTTATTTGTTTTATTATTATTATTTTGAAAAATTTTCTCACTTTTTCGAAAAGTGGTGTTACTTCTCTGAGATAGCGGGCTGTGCCAAGCTATTTCAGAGTCTACCGCTGGAATTAAGAAATGATCTGACTATATTTATTATTATTATCAATGACTTTAAGTTTTTGAAATTACACTTCAGGATGACTAATATTTCAGATATGTTGTTGGTTTTTGTACTGATTCTAGCAAAAAATTTGACATCATGTAATTTTATTTATTGTAGCTGTAGATTCTAGGAAAGGGAATTCTATTACTGAACAGGCTATGAATGAGCTGTTTACTCTTTCCAAAAAGACCAATTTTGTTGTGTCTGGATCAGCATTGTTGAATCATAAATAAGTTGCAATTGAAAAGTTAGGCTCACTTGAATCATTACCTTGAGCTTTGGGCACTTCCTTATTTCAAGCCTTCAAAGCTTGAGTGGTTGTCACATGGCACTGCAAATATTAAATGTCATAGATTTCATTGGACAGGTAGTCCAACAGTGTTAGACATTTTAATTATTTGCGATATCATTATCAATAGTCCCTAGCTTGGCGTTCATCAGAATTGAACGCTAATATTTTAAGGGTAGGCGGCGCCTACCTTGCCTACTCTGACGAGCCGCCACTGCTTTTGAGTACAAGTAGTTTTAATATGTAGTCTCAATTTTCAAGAGACTCCATAATTTAAGTTAGAAATAAGTTGCATTCGAAAAGTTAGTCTTACTTGAATTATTACCTTTCATATTGAGCACTTCTTTCAGGGAAGATGGCGACCTTGATCGGCTTTTTTCCATGAGTTTCGAAGCTTTTGCTCCAACTCCTGAAACAACAACATTGAGTTATCAGAATAAAATGTTAACTTATTTGTTTTATTATTATTATTTTGAAAAATTTTCTCACTTTTTCGAAAAGTGGTGTTACTTCTCTGAGATAGCGGGCTGTGCCAAGCTATTTCAGAGTCTACCGCTGGAATTAAGAAATGATCTGACTATATTTATTATTATTATCAATGACTTTTAAGTTTTTGAAATTACACTTCAGGATGACTAATATTTCAGATATGTTGTTGGTTTTTGTACTGATTCTAGCAAAAAATTTGACATCATGTAATTTTATTTATTGTACCTGTAGATTCTAGGAAAGGGAATTCTATTACTGAACAGGCTATGAATGAGCTGTTTACTCTTTCCAAAAAGACCAATTTTGTTGTGTCTGGATCAGCATTGTTGAATCATAAATAAGTTGCAATTGAAAAGTTAGGCTCACTTGAATCATTACCTTGAGCTTTGGGCACTTCCTTCAAAGAATTCAAAGAAGATCGCGACCTCGATCGGCTTTTTACCATTCGTCTGGGAGCTTTTTCTCCAACTTCTGAAACAACAAAATTGAGTCATCAGAATAAAATCTCAACTTAATTGTTTTATTATTATTATCAATGACTTTAAGTTTTTGGAATTACACTTCAGGATGACTAATATTTTAGATATGTTGTTGGTTTTTGTACTGATTCTAGCAGAAATTTTGACATCATGTAATTTTATTTATTGTAGCTGTAGATTCTAGGAAAGGGAATTCTATTACAGAACAGGCTATGAATGAGCTGTTTACTCTTTCCAAAAAGACCAATTTAGTTGTGGCTGGATCAGCATTTTTGAATCATAAATAAGTTGCAATTGAAAAGTTAGGCTCACTTGAATTATTACCTTGAGCTTTGGGCACTTCCTTCAAAGAAGATCGAGACCTTGATCGGCTTTTTGCCACTTGCCTGGGTGCTTTTGCTCCAACAGCTGAAATAACAGAATTGAGTCATTAGAATAAAATGTTAACTTAATTGTTTTATTATTAACATTTATGAATATAAGTTTTCCAAAATTTTTTTCGATATTACTGTTCAGGATGACTAGTATTTCAGTCAGACATATTGTTGGTTTTTGTACTGATTGTAGCAGAAATTTTGACAAGAATCTTTATGTAATTTTATTTGTTGGGGCCGTAGATGCTAGGATAGGAGATTCTATTACTGAATAGGCTATGAATGAGCTGCTCAAAAAGATTATTTAGTTGTGGCTGGATCAGCGTTTTTGAATAATAAATGAATTGCATTCGAAAAGTAAGGCTTACTTGAAGTAATGTCATCCATTTTGGGAACTTCCTTCACGGAAGATCGAGACCTTGAGCGGCTTTTTGCCATTTCTCTTGGTGGTTTCTCTTCCACTTCTGAAACAATAATATTGAGTGATCAAAATAAAATGTTAACAAAGGTCGCCCTCCACCACATTCAAATCCAGATGGTATTATTCAAGTTTTAAAATACAAATCATAAATAGGTACCAGTGAACTATGTTTGAAACTTGTCTCTTATGGGTAATATTTATCATTGAAAATTATTTGCTAAAATGATTCTATGTAATTCCCAATTTTTAAGAGACTAGCTCATTTAAGAAATAGGTTGCATTTTGAAAGTTAGCCTTACTTGAATCACCATTACTCTGCAGTAAAGTTGATTGGCGTCTTGTCTGCCTCTTTTCAGCCATTTCTGCTGAAACAACAGTCTGCCTCTTCTCAGCTATTTCTGCTGAAACAACAAAATTGATTTAACAGAATAAAATTATTTATTGTAATATAGTTATTATTAGAATTAGTTATTCCAATAGTGACAATATGCATAGTGAAATTCGTCACTAAACTCATTCAAAACTATTGGTTTACCTGGAATGTGGTTGGAACAATACTTTGTCTTGGAGGTATTAATTGACTTTTAAAATGCACATTATTAGTAGGTACCTACCACTATTTGATAAAATGATTCTATGTACTTGAATCTCAATTTTTAAGAGATTAGTTTAATGTAAGCCCTACTTAATTTATCCATACCTTGGACTTCTGGCGCATCTGTTGATACTCGAGATGCTATTTGGTATCTGGTCAGCCTCCTCTCTGCCCGAGTCTCTGCCCGAGTCTCTGCCCGAGTCTCTACCACTTCATCTGCTGAAATAACAAAATTGATTTAACAGAATAAAATTGGAAGTTATTTATTATCATAATAATTATGATTGTTTATTTCAATAGTGACAATGTTTATAGTGAAATTCATTCATTAAGCTCAGCCAATGCTATGTATTTCGGCTTCTGCTAATCAAGTTTAAAAAAAAACATGCAAGTAAAGGATAATGTCAGTGAGTGTATTTCCGATTGCATGAATCTTTTTTGCTTCTGTAATGAATGTAATGTTGCTGTTATACGAAACTTAAAAATATCAGAGATTTGATCGTCATAGAACAAAAAACGAATGATCTATTGGAGGAAACCAAGGTGTGTTAAAACATTACATGGTAATAAAGGCACTGATTCAAAACATACAGTCTCAGATGAAAATAGCCGGAGTCAGAAATACCTCCTGCGGCGGTATTCGGATAGAATGCGAAAATTACACGATGCGGCCAAAAACGCTCTAGCAGACGAGTATGAACAGAAAAATTTCGCTGAAATCATCGGCACTGGACATGCAAAAAAAGGTAATTCCATACAGGTAAACACTGATAAGGATCCTGGCGCCGGCAAAAATACAACTCAAGGGCAAATAAACAAATTGGTCATCGATTTACAGGAGGCAACCGATAAGAACTATGCTAATTCAAATAGTGGAAATATTAAATACATGGATATTCACATGGGACACATGGCGAGAAGATCAATCGCCAGAACGCCGCCAAAAGGAAACGCTGATGGGGGAAGTGTACAGAAAAGGCCAAGGTCTGATTCCAGTCCTCCTAGTCTTGACTACGATCGGCAAAAAATTCGTAAACACTGTGCAGGAATCAGACTCAGCCATACCCAAGAAAATAGCCGCACCACTGCACAAAAATACCAGCAGGAGCAAACATCAAACTCAAGTCACAAGTCACAAGCTTATAGAATTAGCCTTGGAGAGCCTTGGAAAACATTGGCACACTCTCGGAAAAAACATAGTTTGAAGAAAATGATTTTAGGGTAATGAGAATGAGCTACTTTCAATTGCATAGTATGGTTACCAAACTGGTATATAACACTAGCATATAACTAGCAACCATAACACAGATACAACCAATACACAATTCTCCAGAAGTGGAAAAAATGGGGACAGCTAAGCCCTGGACTACACCAGAAGTTAAAAAAAAGTTGGAAACGATTATTCGAATAAATAATGTCAACGATCCTAAGGAAACCACACGCCAACTGAAAAATGAGCTGAAAACAGATGATATAGGCGGTGGATTTAAAAATATAAGGCATTTAAAAGATAGAGCAATTGTGGTCGAGAGCTGCAGTGAGGTGCAACAACAAAAACTCAAACAGACACTTCAAAACAAAAATAATATTAAACCGAAGGATCTCAATGAGCAAGATCTAATGTTTGTCATAACAGGGATAGAAAAGGGCTATACTGATGAAGACTTTATTGATGAACTCATAAGGCTAAACCAAGAAATAGAGACTGAACTACAGGACGAAGTTATGGATAAAATTAAAATTGTAACAAAGAAACAATGCAGAAATCCATTAAAAGAGAACTGGGTTCACCAAGCTCCCACGAACATTGCTAAATGGTTTTTAAAAAGAGGAACTGTGACATTTGATTTGGTAAAGGTGTATGTGCAGGAACATTTAAATTTGGCAATTTGCTTCAAATGTTGCGGATTTGGACACGTAGCAAAGTACTGTAGAGAAAAGCTGTGCTGTCATAAATGTGGAGAAGAACACGCTGGTGGAGATTGTCAGGCTATACAATGGAAATGTTCAAATTGTAATAAAATGAAATATAAACCAGAAGAAAGTATACATTCCGCTAGAGATATGAAGTGCCCACTATATGAAAAGAGACTATCACAATACAGAAACCAAATAAATTATTCGGGCTCTTTCTTACCACAGGCGTAGCAAGTGTGAAACATACCAGGAAGCCTGAGCATAAACTTCCCGAAGTTTCAAACAGAAAAGTGATAAGTATAATTCATCAAAATGTTGTTTTTGACTGAACATTGGAAAAGTGCTGATCAATTGAAACACTACGTGATAAATGACTTTAGTCTAATGTCAAAATTTTGTCGGGAAGAAGATGAGCACGGGGGATCTGCCGTTTATGTTAGAAAAAATTTAAAATCTAAGGAAAAAGTAGATATTGGGAAAATGGCAGTGAGCGGAGTGTTCGAGTGTGCCGCAGTAGAATGCAGTTTCGGTAAGGCAGTGTCAATTAACATTTCTGTATATAGACCACCCTCAGGCGACATAACTATATTTGTAGACAAAGTAGAATGTCTGTTAACAAAAATTTTTCAAGAAAACAAATTAATTTTCAATTTCTCTTTCATGGCATTTTAACACATTAACATTATAGAACAATCTAATAGTGAAAAACCAAAGCCATAAGGTTGGCACGTACTGAAAGGGTTGAAATAAGGGCGCGATCGCGGTGGCTGATCGTTTTTTCGCTTATGGCAATCGACAGAATCAAATTTTATATCGTGAGGAACCAGAAAAAAAATTCCCATAAGCCGGTCAGCTGTTGAGGTATATTTTACGGCCGCTGCAAAAGGAAAGTAAATTTTCCATATGCCTAGCAGATGTCCGGCCGCAAAATTTTAATTTTTTGAGCTCAGCACTGACATACTTCTTAGTGGTTGAAATCCCCGAAGAGAGAAAATTAGTCAGCAAAATCTGTCATTAGCTGACGGTCTATAACGTTTGTTAGAAAATATAAGCCTTCCAGAGAGGAACATTTTAATGTTTTGTTCGAGATCTCGACGCGAGTGAAGCTTTTATATACTTTATTAATCAAACATAATTACGCTCGGATGGGACTGTTTTCCATTGTATGAATCTGTCTGAGTTTCAATATGTTTTAAATGCTGGAAATATACAGGGTGTCCCAAAAAGATACCGACAAACTTTAAGGGGTAGTAGGGGACATCAAAACAAGCATTTTTGTTTATATAAACATATGTCCGCAAATGAGCCATTTGGGCTGAAGAGCAAAAAAACTATTTGGTATCTAGTTTTATTCTTCACAATAATTAAATCACTGTTTACTTATTAATTTTGCTTTAATAGCGAATAAATTATGGGTTGCAATAATTGTTCAACTCGAGAACTCTTCGGAATATTCCGGGAATAGCTTCTACATGGGTACAACTCGCCATCAGTATCCTTGCTATCAGATCTTTCTCATTACGAACAGGTGTTTCGTAGACTAAACTTTTCAGTCAATGACCCGACGACGGTGTAATCTTTGCATTGAAGTAAGTGGTCAACATTTTGAACAATTATTGTAAACCATAATTTATTTGATAATAAAGCAAAATTAATAAGAAAACGGTAATTTAATTATTGCGAAGAATAAAAGTATCAAACAGTTTTTTTGCTCTACAGCCCAAATGGCTCATTTGCGGACATATGTTTATATAAACAAAAATGCTTGTTTTGATGTCCCCTACTACCCCTTAAAGTTTGTCGGTATCTTTTTGGGACACCCTGTATAAATAGACTCTGAATAAATAAAACAGATATCCGAAGTAACTAATAATAATAATTAATAATTTATTAATAAAAGGATATACATGTCTTTGTTTACACTTCTTATAAGATTTTGTCAACTTATGAACTAAATGTTGTAATGATGCCTAGATGTACAGGGTGTCCGAATTTGGATGGTTTTGATAGGAAACGTCAATTTCTGAGCGAGATACAAAAAAATTAACCCCCCACTCCGAGGCTCAAATTTCTTGAAATTTTGATTGGTGCAAACCGCATTTTGATATCTTCAACCGTTTAGCAGCTAGAGAGCGATTCTCGATTTTGAGCAATGCTGTGAAATCTTCATAACTTTTTTGTTTATAAAAATAACTGATTTCCGTAAAAACTTCCTAGAAGCACTTTTTCGAGCAGAATTCAGTGACGTTTTCAGTTTTTTTCTATTCGGCCTCGATTTCAAGATATTGACCAAAATCCGATTTTTTTCAATGGGACACTCTATAATAATAATAATAATAATAATAATAATAATAATTTCGATAGGTTTATCTCCTATCGAACTTTATATCATTGAAATCAGAAAAAGCCGAGCTTTCTAATGAGCTAATAATATATAGAGTGTCCTATTGAAAAAAAACAGACTTTGGTCAATATTTCGGAGTTGGGACCAACTAAAAAAAAACTGAGAACGTCACTGAATTCTGCTTGAAAAAGTGCTTTTCACATTATTGCTCAAAATCGAGAATCGCCCTCTAGCGGCTAAACGGTTGAAGATATCAAAATGCGGTTTGCACCAACCAAAATTTCAAGAAATTTGAGCCTCGGAGTGGGGGGTTCATTTTTTTGTATCTTGCTCAAAAATTGATGTTTCCTATTAAAACCATCCAAATTCGGACACCCTGTACAGGGTTATTGGTGATAAATGTTACCCCCCTCTACCTTTTTTATTTGACATTTTAGAAAGAAGTGTCCCAAATTAAAGTTTTAAAGATATTTTTTTTTTTTTTTAAACTCACTTCCGCGTATACAGGGTGTTCCAGAAAAGCTGGTCGTAAGCCAACTTTCTTATTTTAAATGTAATACACTGAATGTCAGTGCCTTGGAGCAGGGTATGTGTCAGTGCCTTGGAGCGATATGACAGTAGATTCTGTTTATACTGAGTTTTCCAAGGCATTTGACAAGGTCAATCATGATTTGTTAATTGCAAAATTGTCGAATATTGGTATTCATGGTACATTTCTTTCATGGATTACTTCTTATTCACTAGATCGGATACAAATGGCGAAAATAAAGAATTTTTATTCATTTCCTATAAGCGTAACATCAGGTGTGCCTCAAGGGGCGCATATTGCTCCAATATTATTTAATATATTTGTTAATGACATTCCAAAATGTTTTCACTTTTGTGAATTCCTAATGTTTGCGGATGATCTGAAGATTTTTAAGTCCATTAAAACTGCTCAAGATGTTTTTGAAATGCAGAAGGATCTGGATAGATTTTGTGTATGGTGCATTTAAAATAGTATGTTCGTAAACACTGCTAAATCTAAATATATTTGTTTCTCAAGATCTTTGAATGTATCAGTCAATGACTATTATTTGCATAACAATCTAGTTGAAAATGTTGAATTAATTCGCGATTTGGGTATCTTGTTCGATTCTGGAATGTATTTTGTTACACACTTTCAATTTTGTAGGAGTAAGGCTTTAAAATTGTTAGGATTTATTAAGCGCAATACTAGGGATTTTTATAATATAAACGCCTTAGTTACTTTCTATACATGGCTAGTAAGATCGCAACTTGAAAGTTGCACGGTTGTGTGGTCTCCATTCTTCCAGGTTCACATTAACCAAATAGAATCAGTTCAAAGAAAATTTTTATGTTATATTTCTTATAAATTGAATATCCCTAGAGATAATATTGTTTATAGAGACTTGGAAATTTTACTTAAATTACAAACATTGGATAAAAGAAGGTGGAATGCAGATATTATGACCTGTATAGGGTTGTTCATGGTTCTATTGATTACTCTTATATTTTGGCAAAACTTAATTTTCATGTGCCTCCTAGAACTTTGCTTAGACACAAAACTTTTGAAGTCAATCAACATCATACTCGTTATGGCCAAAATGCGGCAATGGATAGAATGATGAAAAATTTTAATGAATTACAAATAGAGTTACAAGTTGACTTGTATATATATATATATATCCGAAATGAAACTAAAGAATTGTCTGAACCAACTGTGATATTATAGGTAAGTTTTTAAACAAAGCAAGGAAAAAACGTAAAGATGGGAATCTTAAATTAGGAAGTTGTATAGGTCTTTTTTATATTTTATATTTTGTTGGCAGATGTGATAGTTCAATTTGTAGATCCTATACCTAAGTTCAACTGTTTTGGAAATATTGACAGTTGAAAATTGACTTTTTTACAACTTTGACAGGCTGTAAAACCTTAACGGTTAATTTTAAATTAAAACCGATCTGACATTCTTGTCTTAGATTTCCATAAACTACCATTTGACACCAACTTTAAATTTAATCAGAGATTAAATTTAATTGGATTTTTCTGAGGAATTTTTAATCAAGTATTAAATCCAAAGTTGGTGTCAAATGATAGTTTATGAAAATCTAAGACAAGAATGTGAAATCGGTTTTGATGTTAAATTAACCGTTTAGGTCTTACAGCCTGAGCCTGTCAAAGATGACAAAAAGTCAATTTTCAACTGTCAATATTTCCAAAACAGTTGAACTTAGGTATAGGGTATATCACATAAAATCTGCTCAGAATTTTACGTAGAATTCGAATATTCAATAATTTACAGGGTAGTCCATTTGAAATAAGAAAGTTGGAACACGACCAGCTTTTCTGAAACACCCTGTATATGTGAAAGTGAGTTTTAAAAAAAAATTATTTCAACCATAAAACTTTTATTTGAAACACTTCTTTCTAAAATGTCAAATAAAAAAAAGTAGATGGGGTGATATTTATAACCAATAACCCTGTACCCCCCTATACCATGACATCTGTATGCATCATCAAAATAATGCTTCTTTTAAATTATTTTCACAATACATTCTAAATTACAAAAATTGAATTGAAACTTAACCCAACTGGCTTGAAGAAAGCAGAAAAATGAAAAATACAAAACAAAACCAATCACAGCCAGAAACATCAATGATTCACAACCTGATTAATCCACTTCATTCTCGATACATGATTAATCAAAGTATTTCACTCATCACCCCATAAACCTTGCAAACCTATCGAAATTATTGATTATAAAGGTTTTGCTGCTTGTATTCTGTTACAGATTCATCAAAGGGATGTTCTGTATATGTTTATATAAATAATATTGTGACATTAACTATGCCATGTAGATATGGTTCATATTTTGAAAGGTTAGCTAAATTAGAAATGGATTACATTTTAAGGTTCATTTGTGTAGGTACTTACCGTTAGCTGGTGCGACTTCCATTGTTGGTCCAGCGCCCTGAAACCTGAAACCAAAATAAAAAAAATTAATCAAACCTAGCATTGCAGACATTCTTTTCAAATTTTCCTAAGCCAACAGTGGCAAATTTGTCAGTAATCACGATTTGATCTTTCACTGGTTTTTATTTTTTAATTTGAGAGTAAGCAGCATCACATTATTAGGATAAATTAAAATACAGGTAACTTCATCCTTTAAATTTCACATGTATGTTTGGATTCTTCATCAAAATTAGAGAATTCTGGAGGCGTACCGCCTGTAAAAAGAATATCTGATTAAAGTAGTAACTCTGACAAATTACCAATTTGCCTCAAGTGTTCAAGAATACTACAAGAAGAGAAAATAAAATGGGAATAAGTAACGCATGATTGCGAGTATTGTGTTACTTGTGTGGTATTTTTTCTTGTTCAAAACTTGAAAATTTCAACTTATCTGAAAATTATTGTTCGATAAAGCACCTATTTATGAGAATTTCGTTAAGCTTGTAATCAATTAATTAAAAAGAAGTTTCTCTTTTTCAACAAATACTTCCTGTGCGTGCAAACCACAAATAATGTTGGCAAACGGGAAAGGCTCTTTGAAAGGAAACCTTATTATTGGATCTATTTCTGGATCTTCGAAGAGCATCGGAGACAATTAAGTGACATAGTTTCAAAAATGGCATTGCGCCCGAGTGAAATAAAATCTATTTATTTCAGAGAAGGTTTATTAATAGTAAAACCTTGACGGAAATGACATAACTAGCTCTGCTGCACAACTGGACACTACCATGGGACCAAACCTTTTCATAATAATTTATAATTGACGTTGTTAATTATTGTTAAATATATATATTTTGCTAGTAAAGAAAAACACAAGAAATGTTATATTGCAAAATCCTAAACATACTGTATACATATTTACTCATTAGGACCAAAGATATTCATGTACCTATTGAATTGAAATCGAAACCTTTTTGTGGGATTAAAAAACAGATCACTCAACGGTTGACTGATTCTAATTATACAATTAGGTATATTGTATAATGTTACAGTGCCTATTGTTAGTATTAGATTTCTTGCGATTACTTTTTGATTACATATATTATTGCCAAGTGAATTTAGATATATAATGTTGGTACACATACAGTATTTCAAATACCATCATGTACCTGAGAATGTTACAAGTGGAGGATGTTCATATTACAATGCTTTCCCATGTTATTAATGGTTATATAAGTTAAAATGAACAAAAATGTATTTTTCAATTGCTGAAGCTGAAATAAATAAATGAAAAAATACTCTAAGTGTACATTCCAATTATATGTTATATTACACAACATTTGGGTGGTGCAAGTAGAGGGATTAAAAATTGATCCACTTAGTGCAAAAATTCAAACATCCTGGCATAATCAATGATCATCAAGGAATATTTAACTTCCTCAAAGCACTCAACATTATGTAATAAAATAATTGCCAAAAAACTAATTCTCTCAGTAGAACGACAAAGACTTTGAGTAGTGAATGAAGTGAAGGATCATATAAGACAATGATTAAGGTTTATTTCTGTTATTTGCCCTCGGAATTTTTTCTTTTGACCAAGAAATGAAATTTATGCAAAGACTTACTCGGCCCTTTCCGATAAACAGACAAACAGGTATGCCAAAATCACATTGTTGTTTATTTTTAAAATGGTGCCTGGACTAGTATCTCAGCATTTTTTAGATGCATGTAGGTACAACTGTTGAAAACATTCACGAGCATATTAATAGAAGCAAAAACAATTCCTATAATAGAACAGAGGGCATTTAATTTTTTTTAAAACTTGTCGCACAAAGAACTAAAATTTCTTCAGAAACTGAGAGTTTAAAAGTATTTCGTGCAAGACAATTATTTTGAAAGGAAATGGTATAAACTAAGTACCTCAATAAATAAATAATACTGGGCTATTTCATTAGAAAGTGCATATTATATTCAACCAAATTAGTTGCGAATAAAGACTAAAACCATTGGCGAACAATAATTATCAGCTGAACTCACATTATTCATTAGGTATTGCATTACAGATTGATACAGCAGATAAAATTTATTGTGATTATAATTCAATTAAATACTGCTAAAGGTTCAACAAAATAACCAAGGTTGTTCTGGCATTGTTTGGAAAAAATGATACCATGATTCTTGTAGTGTATTGGAATTGAAATGATACTTAAATAATAATATTTTTTCGTATTCTTCTGAAAAAGATAAGCATCGAAAAACGTGATCAGTCGAATAACAGTAGGCAAATGAGATGGATGTGAATGAATACATGATTACAAGTTTTAGCTCTTTAAAAAATCAGAGCATTAGTTTAAATTTTATTATGGTGCATTAAAAAATATTGAGTAGTTTTTCAGATTTCATCTCGAAATATAAACCTTGCCAGCACGGAAATTTAAAAACTTTGGGTGTAAATTAAAACTAGACGCAAGATGAGTTATCAATTTGTGTGTAAATTGTGGTGAATATAATTTATAATGAACTCAAAACGAACAAAGATTACTCCAATAGAATTTAAAAGAAGTGGAAGAAGATATAGGGCATAATTAAATATAATAAGTAAGTAGTAAGTACCTAATCATTATTTGTGTAATTGGGGGCTTTGGGGCTTCTGATGAGTTGATTGGTGATAACTGATAACAAGTTAGTGGAAATAAAGCGTCCATAGTCCCCAAGGCATCTAACACCAGAAAAAGATATCTTACAAAAAAATATATATAATTTGGAAGTATCTAAAAGAAGAATGCCAATCAGAAGTGGTATTTTCAGGTACAGGAATAGCTGTCACTGATGAGTCTATTATGTGTGTGTGGATTCTTTAAGTTTAATTCGAACTATGTACCTATTTCACTCATACTGAAACCATATACCAAATGCTTGAAATTTAGCCTGTCAACTTGATATTGGTTCTTGAAGAATCAAAACTAATGTTTAAAATTTTAAATAACAAGTCTGAGTGCAATAGTAAAATACAAATTACAAATCAAATTCAGGAACACAATCCAAGAAACAATGACAATATTCGTTTGGGTAGTGCAAGAACAAATAAAGCATTGCAGAACTCAGGTGTTTTCAATAGTTTGTCTGTTGAAATAAAAAATGAAAAACGACTAAATGTATTTATAAAGAAACTGAAAAAAATTATCAATAACTAATAAAAATATTTATGATTGTATAAATGACAGTGTTGCTGATTAGGATCCAATTAATTATTATAGATAATACCTTTGGTACCAATGCTTATACTTGCATTGTTTTGAAGGTTACCTTAATTCAGATTAAGTATTTTGTAATTCTGAATTGTAGATAAACTGAATTTTGTCTGAATAAAGGATTGTTCAATAATGCCTAGACGACTGACTATTTTGTGAAAGGAAATAAAAAAAAATAATAATAAGCAATAAATTACTAACCCAAAAATCAGTCAAATTGACGAAAAAGTACCACTTTACCTTGCCAGTCTTGCATTAAGTTTGCAACATTAACAGGAACGCTTAAAAAATGGTAGCTTGTTATTATTATTTTTAGAATTGCAAGGCGAGAACCTTCCAAGAAGCAACTATTTGGGCCATACCGAGTCTAGTAAAGCCACAGTTCGAATATTGGACCACACAGAAATCACAAACCAGTCAGAGCAAATTTTATTGGTTGAAAACAGTCGGAAACAATCAGAAAAGTAGTTTCAATCAATGAAATTCACTCTGTCTGGTTTGTGGTTTCTGTGCGAACACACCTAATAATTACATATTATTATTCGGTGTGTTAATGAACAAAAATGCGAACTTAATACAAGGTTGAGAACATCAAGAAATTTTGTAGAGTTAAAGCTTCTTTGCTATTAAGTATAAATCCTGCATCTGTACTGTGTACATGTCTATATTATAATCAATAGCAAACTGTAAAAATTGATCAATTATTGATGAGCAATCTCACCAATGTGTGACGTTTTCACTTTTTTGCAGCTTCAAAATTCAATGAACGCAGTTATTTGAAGAGTGGTTTGAAGAAATATATAATAAATAATTCCTCATATCACAGCAGACAAGACGAAACACTTCCAAACTCCTCTTCCACAAAAGAACAGTTAAGGCAATGGTTGAGTAATCATGGAATTCCGTACGACAATTTTAATTTAAAGGCTGGCCTATTGGCAAAGGTAAAACAGAATGTTATCGATGCTTTAATCGCTTTCAAATATTATGGTCACGAAGTTCTTGGGCTGCCACCTTACCACTGCCAGTTCAATGAGGTCTACAAACCTAGCAGTTCCATGGAGTTCGGGGCTTACATAATAATTTGCTGTTTTTTAGGTGTTAATTAGGGCTTTTAATTAAAAATAAGGTGCTTCTTTAGTTTTTGAAAAAATTTAGAAAAACAAAAAATCAAGGTACTGCTAGGTTTATGAAAGCTAGCAGTCCACTATAGTAAAAAACGATTTTTTATCAAAATTAGGTGCTTTTTATGGCCTTTAATTAGAAATTAGGCCCTCCCTTAGTTCTTGAGAGAATCAAAAAAGCTAAGGAACTGCTCGGTTTATGAAAGCTAGCGGTCCCCTATAAGTAAAACATATTTTTTTTAAATTATTTTTTTTTGCATCAAAATTGGGTGCTATTAAGGGCCTTTAATTAGAAATTAGGTGCTCCTTTAGTTCTCAAGAAACTCGAAAAACAAACCAAGTGACTACAAGCCATACAGTGAAAAATACTTTTTTTTTTAATTGTTGATCAAAATAAGGTGCTTTTTAGGTGCTCCTAAATAGTCAAAGAAAAACTTGCATCAGTTAATTATTAACTGAATTATGCATATTTTTGTATCATTAGAGGACTACTGGCATTACGTTTCCTTGGTAGTGTATTTACAGTGAAGCTCAGATGCTAGAATGTGATAGGGATTAGGTGCTATTTAAGTGATCCCTAAGTCGAAGAGAAACTGGAATCAAAAATATTTTAGCCTTTCACATTAGCTTCGCATAAATACACCACCAAGTGAACGTAAAGCCAGCAGTCCCCTAATAATGAAAAAAATCTCTAATTAAGTTGATAGGTGCATACCTAACTGATTTTCTGTATTTCTTCAATTATTTAGAAGCACTTAATTTTGATGAACAATTAATTATCACAAAAAAAAAAGTATTTTTCACTGTAGGGCTTGCAGTTGCGTAGTTAGAAAATTGCATAGGTTGAGGTATTTAGTATTATTGCTGTGAATTATATAATTTAATATGTATGTACCTATGTATTCAGGGAAAAGATGTAAAAATAAAAATTAGAAAATCGTTGAAAAGATATTATGTAGGTTTGGGCATTCCTCAAGGTATTCAGTATCATTGCTGAGATTTATGAAATCTACGAGGAAATCTATTTATGTATTTAATAAGCATATTTAGGAAAAAGGAAAATAAAATTTATAATAGGCATATTTTTTCAAAAGCTGGTACATATAATCAAAATCAATCATATTTGACCAATTTTAAATCACTTACAGAGTGAACAAATATTTCTACCTGAATGTCAATTGGTTTCGCTATCTTTTACACCAAAAATAAAACTCATCAACCTCTTAATTACTTTTTGATCGTTCCAGCACAATAACCATTGGGGCTCTCAGATAGCAAATCCAAAAGAAATTAGGAGAAAGTGATTAGGCGTAGCAAGAGTTTGAATGGGTCTATCACACTATCCGGAAACACGAATTTGACATTTTTGATGCTTTTACATTAAAATAGACAACTCAAATAATAGTTTTATGAAAAAAAAAATGCGGGTTTTTTCATTTTTCTGCAAGAAAATTCAGTTCAAACTGACGGAAATTGACCATTTCATAAATCGAATACGACATTAAACGAAATAAAAATGCAAGTTGCAATCAACGTTGCCACATTGTGTGATATCTCCTGAGCTTAAATAATAATAAACATAAAAAAAACCATAGTCATAGTTTCTTAGAGGTTTTATTTATATTTCTTACTAATAAGTTGCATTAACCATTTGTATCTATACATTATAATATAAAAAAGGAAAAGTTGAATTAAGAACCACTAAAACTAAAAAAACTTAGGGAATAAAATATGTAATTAATCAACTTAATAATCCTATAAAAAATTATTTAATATTTTTGTCCAATTTGCAATGTTAAGTTATACATTTGTTGGATGGCATTTTTGCCATATATCTGCTTCCACATATCTATATTGGTCAATATATTGTGGCAAATATTTTGAATGCATAACACCCATAGCTCTGAGATATTTTTTCAAGCCAGACCAATACCCTTCCACCTGGTTGGTATAGACCTCTGTAATGGGATCTTTGAAATATTTGGTATGGTTTACTGTACGGTCTACTAATCCAGAATAAGCGCGTCAATTGCCTGTCCATATTTCACTATCGACCCTTGCTTGTTTTGTTATAATCGGTAAAAGAATCGCAGCGGATCGATTTTTGACATATTGAATATATTCCGTTTTTTCAGTGTTATATTTTCTTTCAGAAATTACCTGTACCAAATGATTCTCTCCGCCTAAATAGAATAAAAATTATAACAGACGATCCTCTTCTCAACCTTTGACACAGATCAATGAATAATATCAATTCTTATCAGTTTAATATCACTATCGCTCTGTTTTTCGATAATGACATAAATAAAAAAAATGAATCAATAGTAAAGTAGGTAATTTTTTTCTGGGTCTCGTAAAGAAAAAGATGATCTGATTTTAAAAACTTTTTCAACTTAAAAAAAACAAACATAAAATCAATAATCTTAGTAAATTAAATGACAAATATTTTCCTGTATGAATTTCAGTAAATTTATTTATTCATAAGAATATTTAATGTTTTCCGCATTTAATTGAACATCTTAAAGAGGAACTAAACGGTTTTATGGAGAAGTATATCGAACTTGTAAGTTTTAGTGTTTCCGTATAGTATGATGGAACCGTTTGAATAAATAGGCGAGAAATACTTCAACAAAATATTTGTATTCAATTGAATCATGTAAATCTATGTAAGACATACTTTTGTTCGCAAATTTTTAGTAAACCAGGCACTTCCCAAAGTTAACTAAACTAATCTTAATCACATTATCTCAATTATAAGGCTTCTACCTGTGTTTTGTTTCTATAAGCCCTTGTCCCTGATGATACTAAAAACTTCAATAATATGTAATATCAATTAAATTTAATTTCATTGTCAATGTCGAAGATGCCAAGAATAATTTAAGGAGAAATTATTCCCATGTATTTATTTGTTAATTCTTCAAGACACTTATTCATAACCATAATGCCATGCTCAACAGAAACTAATTTACCGTCGTAGGTAAAAAATATTTTGCCCAGACGACCATGAACATGAACCACACGAAGTAACCGATAAGGTGACAGTTTGATTATACCAGCAAATAGACAATAGAAAATTGTTAAAAAGATATAGACGTAGTGTATTGGAACTAAAATAATAAATATTTATACTACTTTGTATAAACAAGATAAGCATTGGAAATGTGATCATATCATAATCAGGGCCCGGATTCCGAACTCACGATTCGATAGTATCGTCTATCCATTTTATATGGACGATACTATCGCATCGTGGGTTCGGAATCCAGGCCCAGTGGTCAGTCGAAACTCGAAATACTTACTGTAAGCAAAAAAAAGGATTGAATAATCATTACTAGATTAAATAGAGTTTTATTATAATCCAAGAGCAAATACAATTATAATTAGGTACCTACACACCTACCTATTATTGCATTGGTTTATCAGAGTACCCAAACATACATTTTGAACAGTGAACAGGGGTTTTGACGAACTACATGAAAAGTTTTTCCATTCGAAACCGAAAGTGCAAAAAGCTTTTCCAGAAATGCCGGCTTCAAGAGTTTCTCCAAATCAGGTATTCAAAGCGAAAAAATTGATAGCAATACAAGATCTAGGTGGCCAGTGCACTTAGGCTCTGCTCAGAGCAAATATTTCCGATTACCCAGAAAGAGTCAAGTGAACCCACTCCCATTACTATGCACGTGCAACAATGCAATTATCATTAAACAATGAGAGAATGCTATTTAGTAGTTTCAATGAAAATTATATAAAAACAAATAAAATAAAGCGGCTTACCTCTATTCACAAAACTTTCACAATCTCACACTAACGATATGGTAATGGAAACACAGAGCAAAATGGCGGTTTTGGCGAAAAGGCACTAAATGCAGCACGCACAACAACCACCCGACGCGGCGTCCAACTCCAAAGCGAATGCCGAATGTAATGGCGGTTGGCGCTGGAAGTAGCGAAAGAGGAAGCCGGTTCCCCTACTCCTTCACTTCTAACGACTTTAACGAACTTTTGAGTTCAAAAATCGGTCGCACTCCTGCTCTCTTCTCTGTCCGTTCTCATGCTGTTAGAAGGAGAGGGAGACACAAAAAAATATTTTTTTCCCGCGCGGCGCGTAGTAACATTTCCGTTTTGTGATATGGGGTTCTGAGATTCGCAAAAGGAAAGGGGTTGCCTTGTTGCCTAATTTCTAATACATTCTTGTTGCCAACATGTTCGCTGTGAATTCAACAAAGACGCTGAGCTAAAGCCTATTTAAAATCCATTGGAATAAAAACATTTCCATAGCTATTTGTCTTCACGCGGTTCAGGTCTGCTGTGTCTGCTCGCTTACACGAGCTTCTATGTTCGGAGCACTAAAATATGTGTTCCAAGTGACCTAAAAGATTTTCTAGAGGCAGCAGCGTCAACGACCGAGTTCGGGAATTAGCTCCAAGAACATTATTTATCCATAATTTGCACTAACTTGAACGTTTAAATTTTTTGTTTAATAAAATAAATAGATACGGATAACCAAGACCAAATTGCTGTGTCTACTCGCTAATAGTTTATACGAAGTCAATCCGAATAGCATAAAAAACTCTGTAGGCGGCATCTTCTTATGAAATTAAGCATATGCGTGCAACAGCCTAGGAATTATAATTCTTCCTTCTTGGGAATTCCTAGACAGTTGCACGCATATGCTTGATTTCATAAGAAGATGACGCCGCTGTTGATTCCGTTTATACAGTTTTTAGTTTTTATGCTATTCAGATCGACTTCGTTTAAACTATATACGAGCTGTATGTTCGGAGCAGGAAAATGTGTTCCGAGTGACCTTATATTGCTTTGACATGAGCCGCTTTTCAGCTGAAAAGTACGTAGGTTTGGTACCGGGCGCTTCGAACCTCACAAGCTTTGAGCGCCAATGTCAGTTGGAACACGCTTCTGAAATCTACTAATACAAGAACGGTATAGTAGTCATCATCAACTATAAGGTCTGTTTCTGCAGAAATCACAAACCAGTCAGAGTGAATTATTGGTTGAAACTAGTTTTCTGACTGTTTTCAACCAATGAATTTCGCTCTGAGTGGTTTGTGATTTCTGCAGAAACAAACCTATAAACGCACAGGCCAAACTACTTGACCTACAGTTATAAAACTTGAAGGACGTATTGGGTTGATGACGTAGGCTCTCGCTAAGATTAAGAAAGGATTTTTGAAAATTTCATCCTCAAGGGGGTTAAAATACGTTTCGAAATATTAAAGAGGATTCCTCTATCTCGGAAACGAGAAGCCGCAAAGATCTGTTATTAGCATATAGTTTCTACCAACAAAATAAGTGAACACGTATTTCAGAGTTTTTTGAAATTTCCAATGGGGGCGGAGAAATAGGGTTAATATGATTTCGAAAGGGGAGTTAAGGGATTTTCTTTATCTCGGAAACGAAAAGTCACAGATGTTCAAAAATTGATATGCAGACTCTGCTAATAAAATAATAGGACCCGTGTTTTGGCGTTTTTCTATTACTTTCCCTATTACCCCCCTATGTCTCCCATAACCGGTTTCAAAACCACTCTGTAGACGAATTTCGCACAAATTTTAGGTTGCTCTGGGAGCGATTATAATCCAAATGAGGGCAAACCCTTGGGAACTCGGTAGCCGAACGTATTTTATTGCCTTGATCAAACTCTTTGATCAATCGAAATTGACGGAGCAAGAAAGAGCGCTCTGTGTGAGATTTGAGAGCGTTCTATTGCTCAACTCGAACACGTGAATCTCGCTGAGGCTCTGTTTGAAGCCGAACATGTAAATCCGTTTCGGATCGTTTTTTGATCAATCGGGTGAAGTTTTGAGGCAAAAGTCGAAAGCGCTATTGGATCTAGATCACTCGGAAAACATTTCAGTGCTCGGAACATACGCTACTGGATTTGATTTCCAGACCCAACATCCGAAAACAAGAACGTTGCCATATTTTCCTTTTAGGACAGTGAAGTGAGGCTGTGCATTTCGACTGGCCAAATAAATTATTTATTTATTAGTTCTGTAAAATACAGTTACTTTTGAGTACTCGTAACTATTCGTTACTTTTTGATTTGGTTTTCGTTACTTCAGATCCGGTACTTGAGCACCTTTCTCGCCTCCAGCAGCCTAGTTTCATCGATACTCGTTTGTTCTTTAATAGTTTACACCCAAGTACTATGCTGACGTTCGGTATTTTACTCAAAGAGCGGAAGGAGCAGAGCCTGCGGAAGTTAGCTGACCAGCGAGCGCACAGAGCAGTTGAACGCTGTGTTAGAGGGCTCGAAATTTTAATAAAGAACGCGAATGAGCGTGTACCGAGCGCACGGAGAAGTCGGTGAACTCAAATCAAATTACCGAAGGCACGGTATATTGCGAATATTTTTGTATCCGTTACTCCGGTTCTATTCTGAGTAAGGTCGTGTTTATGTTGGAGCTGTGCTGTGTGTGATACTCGATAAAATGTAAATTATCAGTATCGTTGCTTATCGTTTATCACAGCTCCAATATAAACACGGCCTAAGTAACAAGTACTCGTGTAACGAGTACTCGAATACCGAATAGTTACTTTTTTTTACAGCACTGTTATTTATTTACCTCCCATTCCGTAGATTTATATACATTTCAGCATTTCACATAAAAATAAAAAGGTAATTAGCAATTAAATTATTGCAAACCCAAGAACAATGGCAGACGAGAACGAAAACGAAAAAATGGATAACGAGAACCAGAAACCTGAAAAAATGTTCACCCTGAAAAAGTGGAATGCCGTGGCTATGTGGAGCTGGGACGTTGAGTGCGATACTTGTGCTATTTGTCGGTAAGGAGCCCCATTTTCTTTGCATTATGTAGGAACTATAGATCAGTCTGAGTGGGATGTACATACATGACTTGAAAGCCAGCAATAGCATAATAAATCCCTTTGTCTGGTAAGGCATAAGACCTCAAAGCAATGGTAAAGAGGTTCAGAAGAGAATACCTAAATATTTAATAACATCATGGTGAAATGTAGGGCATGATTTTGGCTAATGGAATTTCTAACAAAAGATCTACTGGCTGACCTAGCACACTAAATTCTGTCCTATTTGTATGTAAAATGACAGGTTTGCCAATTTTTTTCTAAACTAGTATACCTAGTTATGTCGGAAGTGGAATCAAGTATATGTTTTCCTATATATATCACATATCCTATTTCTTTCTTTCAGAGTACAAGTTATGGATGCCTGTTTAAGATGCCAAGCTGAAAGCAAAAAAGATTCCTACGGAAAACAAGATTGTGTGGTAGTGTGGGGCGAATGCAATCATTCTTTCCACTATTGTTGCATGTCCTTGTGGGTCAAGCAAAATAATAGATGTCCATTATGTCAGCAAGAATGGTCTATTCAGAGAATGGGGAAATAGTTAAGTCATATAACATTGTTAAGCTAGTTAAGTTGAAATTGAATAAAATAAAGTTTGTCTAAGGAAACTTAGTCTGCCTTTTATTGTCTTAGTAGTGACAGAGATACTACTCTAACTAACTATACACTATTATTTTCGATTTTTTGGGTTTCCTACTAGTGTTGGACTTTCTTCTTGTACATGTAACTCCAGTCAGTGACCTTTGCATGAACAAGATCTGCACTCAGAAAACTTTGTTAGTCATTTCTCCTTATCTAAAAGCAAGCATGTATGGCACTAGCATATGCACACCTATCGCCTTCTTTGGACATCGCTTGTTCAGTTAGCAAGAGACTTGCCTTTTGGCCTTCCATGAATGATGATGAATTGATTTTGAGGATCATGAAGTTCAGCTTGGCGTATGGCGTACCAGTTGAGTTGGATCGCCCTCTCAAGTGTTAGGTTGTCATTTAGCTGCATCATTTCACTCACTTTAATGTCCAGCTATACCTATAACATGCATGTAGGCTTGAAATAAAATTTCCTACAAGTTCTTCTGGTCTCTGGAATTGAATAATTGGAATATTTCTGCAAAATCCCTATATCTATATTAGTCTGTTTCTGCAGAAATCACAAACCAGGCAGAATGAATTTCATCGGTTGAAACTAGTTTTCTGACTGTTTTCAACCAATGAAATTCGCTCTATCCGTCTTGTATTCTGACTGAGTTATTAACATCTTCACATTTTTTTTAAGGCTATTTGTTCCATTTCATTTGTTACTTATGTATAATAATAATAATAATAATAATAATATTCTTTATTGCCAACAAAAATTGTATTAACAATACAGCAACGTCACAAGGCTGATCCAAGTAGCTATTCGATACAGAGAATCAATATGTTTTAGGGTATAACTAAAAATACATAACAATTTGTTGGCAGTTGGCACACAGTGCTAAAATAAAATAAAATACATAGGAATTCAATTATTAGAAGTACTGGAAACTTGTGAAATGAGACTGCTTTACGTCTTCCACTCCTACACAACATAAAATTGGAAACATGCTCAATAAAAACATGGTACTATGTATTTGTGAACAGAAAAACTAGTTTTGTAATAAAATAAAATTATTTAGATGTTTAGTTAGTTGTTTTTCTTCTTAACTCCTCCAACCAACTCTTATCTCTCGAACCTAAAAAATGCTTCACGTAGAAGTTACCTATTAATTTATATTTGGGTCTCAATTTTTTAAAATGCCCGCCAATTACTATTTTTTCCCTCTTATTTTTCATTTAATCGAGCGTGTTCCGAACAAGACCCAAAGTAAGCGAACGTGTTCCATTCGAGCAACACCAATAATACCATACACCGAATAAATCTGGGGCAGTAGGAAGAGTCGGTTCGAGTGAACTTTCCAGCCCCAAAGCTTGAAGATTTATAGTGAAATCAAATCCATTGGTAAGTTCAGTGCGTACTGAGTGTATTTGTGTTTTTTTCTACTAGCATGTAAAAGAAAGTGACGGAAATACATGTTTTTTTTTACTAATTTTAACAATGGTTTTCGCCATTAAGGTGCGCATGCTCTGATTGTGATCGGGATGCACTGCACTCGATTGCGTACTGGTGCTGATTAGATTATACTCATCTGATGGTCGTTTCCACCCAAGGATGATACACGCTACTACTACAGGATAGCCTATCCTCATAAGACCTGTGTGGAACAAATTCCCCCTTCCCCCTGACGAAATCACCAGTTGCGACGTAGCCAGCATGTTATTTCTCGCCTTGAAGTATCAAGGATGATACACACCTAAAAGGATTGCTTATCGGCCTCGTTTTCTGTAATCGCCGCCATATTGGTGTGTTACCATTTCCGATGTCATAACTGTCGTCAGCTGTTTAAACACCCTACGTCAAGGCGAGAAATATCATGCTGCCTACGTCACAACTGGTAATTTGGCTTGGGGGGTGGGGGGGAGGGAGGAATTACAGACAGGCTTTAAGAGGATAGGCCATCCTGTAGAAGTAGTTTGTATCATCCTTGTTGACGTAGGCTGTTTGAACAGCTGACGACTTAGTTATGACGTCTGAAATGGTGACACACCAATATGGCGGCGATTACCAAGAACGAGGCCGATAAGCAATCCTGTAGGTGTGTATCATCCTTGGTTTTCACCAACTATTTTAACGATAAGTATTCATCAAATATATGTTCCGAGGACTTTCACTCATCAGTCGGTAACGAGCGGTTGTGACGTTGGTTATTTTGGTGACAGATAAATTATCAGCTTCCAGGAAAACCATGTCCCGTAATTTGACACTTTTTCAGGAACTGATATATTTGGGACACCAAATTAAGAAGTTGGTTAAAATATTATACATTGCATTGGACCTGCCATGATCCAACCCAAAAATGTTTTGCTCAGTATTGGTTTGTTTATACTATATACGGTCACGGAACATATGGTAAAATGATATGCAGATTTGTAGTAAAACGTAAAACCAAGTATGCATAAAGCTAAAGCCCGCGGAATTATAACCTGTCGTGCAAACAGCCCACGTCAAGGCGAGAAACGACATGCTGCCTTCGTCACAACTGGTGTAGTTGGGACTTCAGATTTGCTCTACACAGGCCTTATGAAGATAAGCTATCCTGTAGTAGTGTGTATTATCCTTGGTTCGAGGCAGCACTTCCTGCTTTGGGGCGTTCGCTTGTGTTAATAGTTGTATTCCTTTCAAGAGTTTAGATCACTCGAGCTACTCGCGCCGGTATTAAGCCTAGTACTCAACTGCGAAATTCGCATTTTTTTGACATTGCTTCGACAATTTGACGTTTGATACACGCATGAAACGTCAAATTGTCAACGGAATGTCAAAAAATTCGAATTTCGCAGTTATGAGTACTAGGCTTCAGGCTGTGTTTATGTTGGAGCTGTGATAAACGATAAAAGCAACGATACTAGCGAAGCAACGAAATACAATGCCTGTATTTGGACGCAGGTGTTTATGTTGGAGCGGCGAGTAGAGCAGCGCTTTTTTGATAGGATACTTTTGGATAGCTCTTCTCATCGCTATTATCGACCCTCTCATAGCTTTTATCACAGCCGATTTGAAAGGAGTAGATGCGTGGTGCAAGTTCAATGGGTGCAACCAATGAACTATAACCAAAAACTGGAATGCGAACACATATTGAAGAACGTGAACCTAGTGCCGCTGCTGCGGACGGGATACCTGTTTTTGTCGCACTCATTATGTTAAATGGCGGAAATTGCTTCCAATCACAGCCTCCTATAGTTAACAAGCCATGAAATTGGAAATGACGGCAACGTCGCGTATGGTGTGCTATTTTGTTATTGGGTTATGTGTTTCTGTGTATTGCTTTCATTGTGTATTGTTGCAATTTAGTATTTTTATGGGCATTATTGACGAAAAAGTGGATAGAAACACACCAATATATTGCCCATATTTAGTTGATACCTGTTCCTTTGTGCTTTGATTGCAAATTTTTAGCAAATGGGTACAGGAGCAAAAATGAAGGTAAGGTAAGGTAAAACAATAAAAACAATATTAATATTTGTCTGCAAGAGCATAGGTCTCGATACATTACCTAAGATATTTAAACTTGTTCCAGATGCCATGAAACTACTGTGTTCCTGGGTGCAAATCGAACTATTAGGAGTTCCTTAAAAACTGAAGAAATGCGAACATTTTTATTTCCAAAAAAATTCTGAAGTGCAAAAAATGTGGATGAAAGCAATACACCAAGATAATTATACCCGAGATTATACAATAACGAAAAATTCTGTGGTGTGTTGTAAACATTTTGAAGAAACCGAAATAATTAGATTTGAAACAAACAAGGATAAAGGCGTAGTTCGAGAGTTCAAACTAAAACGTCCAACTCTTAAAAGTAGGTACCTCTTATTTTCGAAAATCAGCTCAAGTATTTGAATGGACTTGCCTTCCGAAAAAATCCCGAAGAAAGAAAAAGTTAGATTTTCAAAAGACATACTGAAACATAGGCCTATAACACTTTAGACTCTAGAAATATATTCATTTAAATCAATTATTTACTGTTCTTATTTACACAAATAGTTAAATTATTCATTGAATTACTGTTTTTGGCCCTTTAGTACAATAAATTATGTATTTTTTGTGATTCATATTAATAAAATAAAAAATATATATTTATATACAAACAAACACCACCAGCACCACTTGGCGGTAAGATTGCGGTGTTGCCTTTTTAACTTCATAGCTTTTTAAATGTAGGGGGCTGTGTTCCAATACGTATTCCAATTGATGAAACCTGTGAAGGTAAATATGACAAAACTTTCCAAAACGCCATATGTCAGCGAGCAACAGAAAAAAACAACATTTCCCTTTGTGGCATCTATCTTTCATGGCTACATTTTTTTGGCAGATATACTGTAGATATGGCAATGTGTGCGCATTCCAGTTTTTGACTATAGTTCATTGGGTGCAACAAACACTTTTCGAAGGGAATAAGGGCGTAACGCCCCGGAGCTGTTCCGGAGCTCCTCCTAGGGGTGAAAGGAATACAACTATTGGCAATGAACCAATGAACTATAGCCAAAAACTGGAATGCGCGCACATTGCCATATCTGCCCAAAAAATGAAGCCATGAAAGACAGATGCCACAAGGGGGAATGTTGTTTTTTTCTGTTGCTCGCTGACATATGACGTTTTCGTAAGTTTTGTCATATTTTACTTCACAGGTTTCATCAATTGGAATAAGTGTTGGAAACAATTTTCGCCATTTAACATAATGAGTGCGACAAAAACAGGTATCCCCCCCGCAGCAGCTGCACTAGGCTTCACGTTCTTCCTTATGTGTTAGCATTCCAGTTTTTGGTTATAGTTCATTGCAATGAACTGACGAGCGTTAGCCGAATTGGTGACGTCACAAACCTGAAATTGCACTCAGTCAAGACGCAAACAAACAAACCGAGCAGTGAGCAGGAGCACAGCCTCCTACATTTAACGTATAGGAGGCTGTGGCAGGAGCAATAAACTATTAGGCATTCCAGGTCACGTGACTTTGACAAGGTCCGCCATATTAGCAGTGGGGCAAACAAAGCCTATAGTTTTTTTCACGTGGCTCCGGTTTAACTAACCGGGTTACAAAACGGTTAGAGAAATGACATACCGTTTTCTAACCCGGTTACAAAGTGACGTGATGGATACCTACCACTCGAATTTGAGCGGTATGTTGCGGTTTGTTAAACCGGAGCCACGTGAAAAGGGTTAGAATATCATATTAGCTGTATTCCTTTCAAGAGTTTGAAACACTCGAGCTACTCGCTCCGGTGCTTCGAAGCCCCCGATTTGCAGGAAACAGATGCGTGGTGCAACCTTAGATCGGTGCAACAAACACTTTTCGAAAGGAATAGGGGCGTGAAGCCCCGGAGCTGTTCCGGAGCTCCTCCTAGGTGTGAAAGGAATTAAGCCTACCATATTATTCATGTGTTTATAAAAAAACAGCGCCGCAGGTGAATTTTGTTTTTCGGGACCACGCCCGTAGGACGAACCCACGGATAATACATCTTACCACTACAGGATAGCCCTTAGTAGCTTATCCTCATAAGGCCTGTGTAGAACAAATCTGGCGCCCCCCCACCTCACCAAATCACCATTTGTGACGTAGGCAGCATGTCGTTTCTCGCCTTTTCGTAGGTTGTTTGCACCACAGGATATGATCCGCGGGATTTTGCTCCATATGCGAACTTGATTTTACTATATTAATTACCATTTTCCATAAAACAACTATTTTTTAGATCTCGTTTGCATCTTCCTATTTGCCTATTATGTCAATCAAAATTAGATATTTTATTACGACTACGACTGCTGGCGCAAATAGCTGACGTCGCGAACGACTCAGTTGATGACGTCGGCAATTAACAAAAACGAGGCCGATAAACTATCAGCAGTGACATTATCCAATGATATTATCCTTGGGCCGAGCTCGCCAAATTCTAAACTGTCAAATGCCAAAAGCTATGTCGAATAACTACCACGTTGCGATTTGCTGAGACTAGAGATGAGGCGCAAAAATCAATTTATTTATGCCACCGCAGAGACTGGGATGGGAATGAGACACAAAAATCGAATTTTTGAAATATCAGAGAATACGGGACATTTACGCGTCCCGACAATAAATTTGGGGACGCGGGACATGGACCTTGAAATAAGGGACTGTCCTGTATAATATGGGACCTATGACAGGCTTAAAAGGAATACAACTATTGTTTAAGAGTGTTTTTTGAGTTTGTGCTTCGGAATTTTTGCGTTTTTTGATTTGTTCAATAAATTTTAAGTTGTTTTTAGTTTTTGTGAATGAATAGAATGAATGAATGAATCTTTATTTACAGACATGCCACTTTACATTTCAATTCAACAATAGTAAACAAACAATCTATTAACAAAAATAATGCTTAAGAATCTAAATTGTTTAAAAAATAAAAAAGTTTGATACTAACAACCTTACAAATAAACTTTAGCAAAATAAATTTGTGGTAGAATGACTCCTCAAACGTTTTGACTGTTCTGATCGGTGCACAGATCTGGCATGTAGCTTACTGGCTTGTTCATTCTGAGCTTTTATCAATTTTCGTAGAAGGTATATCCTAAATTTGTACTTGGGACCCAATCCGGATTGTTTTGTATCCTCAAACTCTGCTGGACTACCTAAAAGGTATTAAAAGTTACTTACTTGTAGAAACATAAACAAATTTTTTGATATAGGTACCTAGATGATGTGTTTTTGTATTTTAACAACAAGACAGTCATAAAACTTACCATTAACAAAATCTTTCGAACAAATTCGAGAATTTTCAACAACGTTTCAGTCAAATCTCCCCTTTTGAGGCATATAATCCACATACTCCCTTGTTTTTTTGATGACTCGTTTATGTGATCCTCTCGATCTTTAAATGCTGCTGGAATCCAAAAAAAACCTCACTTTATCCCTTTCAGCTCTATTGGAGCACACAAAAACGTTACAATACGAAGGCATCTTCACAAAATAATACTTCAAAAATTCTCGGTTTGCATTGAAATCAGGTTGTGTTCGGCTTGTGTCTGTCTGCCCCTCAGCTAAAATGGGGGATCGATTATGACGTCAACCCTGAATGCCTAATAGGGCAATCCAAACAAAATGGTGGTCAATGCATGGCCAATGCCAAAAAATTGGCGCCATAAATTTAATTCAAGCAATCGTGACATTTTTCATCAAAAAACTGTTTTTTGTGTATTTTGTGGTGCTTTTAGATGATTTTCTAGTGTTTGAGAGGATAATTTTCGTATTCTAAGATGGAAAGTTTTTAGTTTAAGAAATTATTAGTAGAAAAAAGGCATTGGCCTCCATTTTGAATTCCATTTTGACAAGTCGTTGGATTGCCCTATTGAAAAAAAGAAGTGAGGTTAGGCTAACCCCTGTCTCTGTCTGTTGTTAGTTGTTAAGTTTTTTCGTATTTTTGCTAAATTTGTAGTGGCGTTTTCCGGGTTTTATAATTATTTCCTGAAATAAACGATTTAAATTTTAAAAAACGTATTTTTCTTTTCTGGCTACATAACCTAATGCTTTGAACCTCAATAATATATATTCCATTGTTTACAATGTATATGCAAAGCAACTATGATGATTTTATGGTAAGTGAAGGCGAAGAAAACTTGAAATTTGAATTTTGTATACTACTTAAAAGTACGTAATGTTCATTCCATTCATTAGCTTTGCAGAATTTCGCTTTTACCACTCCCCACTAATTCACCTAATCCCGAAGAGAAGATACTCTGAAACGTAAATTAGTGGAAAACAATAAAACCTTTTTTTACATTATTATAGCACCTTCTCCAGATAGAGATGATGAATTATTTTAAACATTAGTTTACATTGCTCAGACGTTAGGACCTTTTCCACCTTACACATACCTAGTTGTATGATGCAATTTTCATAAACTCTATTGTTGCAGCTTCAAGTCGAACAGGCCCTTAGCCTTCCAATTGGCCCTAGATGCGCCAAACTAACTGTATTAATCGATCGAGGAAGTTTATTACAACTACACAGTTTATTTCCAGTCTTAGTAGATAATATATTTGGGGTGACAGGACAACTTGGGTGGGAGTTGAGAGGTATAACTCAGGAAAGGTCTATGGATTTTGACCAAGTTAGGATTTTTTTATCAGCTGGTGGTCCTTTGTTTAACCTGATATATATGCTGCTGAGTAATGAAAATACTAAGTTCGACTTCCCTATAAGATGTTTACCAGTAAGTAAATACACTAATAACTAGGCAAATTGAAAACTTAAACTTTTAGACACGAATCAAACAATACTTGGGTGCACAATCTGGAAACCAGTTTTATACAGAATTAATTAATATTAATTCACCAATAGGGCAACCAACATCATTATCATTAAGTATGTATTGTTGTTTTCTTCAAGTTTAAAATGTATTAATTTATTATTATTTATAGATCCGTTTGACTACTATATTTTCCATTTTGCTTACCACCTAATTAATCCTTGTCAGCAAAGGTTTAATACAACGGACGGTTTCTGGAATACTCTTTATTACACTCTAAGTTGTGAATATATTTTACATTTCTTGCCTTCCAGTCCAGGCATTATTTATCCGAAAATTGTTTATGATGGTAAAAACCCTAATAAGCACCTTTTATCCCAATCAAGCAATCAGTAAGTTAACTAATTTTCTACAAGAAAATGCATCTAAAAGCAAGAAAAATATTTATTATAGGTCAGCTACATCTCCAAGTGTCATGGATGATTCTGGATCGGAGTTTGGGCTACTTTCTCCAAGAAGAATGAATGAATTCAATAACGGTCCAATGAATGGATATATTCATCACCCAAGGAATGAAATTTGGAGGAGTGAGACTGTTTTAATAGTTTTTTCTGATATGTGGCTCTATAATGATCTTATTACTCGATTACCTAATAAAACGTCTAATGATGTTCCTTCTAATCAAAGGGTATATTTTATTTATTTTCAAGCAATTGTCTTATTACCATAATGATGTTTCTCAGATGTTACCACAATACAATGAACTTCCTACTGCAGAATACATGAGAATAATCCGAGTTCTAGTTAAAGAAGTACATAGGTTTTCAGATAGCGCAAGTTCTGACGATACATATTTGGGCGAATTGAAAAGAATATCCGTTTCAATAATTCAGGAAAACATTTACATATTTTTGAGAAATTTGGTTAATAGGTGGCCTTTGGACGCTTCTTTTAGGCTAGTTCTGGAAGTGTGGTTGACTTATATACAGCCGTGGAGGTACCTGGCGCCTAGTGTAGATAATTCTTGGTGAGTAGATCATTTTGACTTACTTTGTCATCTAAAGAGTATTTTTATTGGTTTAGGCCACAACAGGGATACACTGAGGACACTGAAAGACTAACTTTAGAACCGCAAAAGAAGCAAAGATATCTTTCAAGCAATTATAAGCAATTTATTGCTGAGAATTTATTGTGTTATGTTGTGATCCTTGAGCAAATACTGCCCAGATTCTCCAGGGTTGATTTGGAAAGTCCAAAGATGGCATTGATTTTGTTTAGGTTAGCAAAGGTTAGTATATACTGGGGAACGGGATTATCAAAATTAAGCATTTATTCCAATAGGTATAGTCTTGAGCATTGAAAGTGGGACACCCGATTTTTCCTATTGTAAAACGAGCTCACCAGTTATACCTAAATCAATGACAGGGATTGTCATATTTGACAAAAAATTCATTGTAGAGAAAAGACTGATTTATGCAAAATAGCGAAAAATTACAAGACCTGTCAGTCGGGTGTCCCATTTTCAATGCTTACGACTGTACCTACTCAAATTATTCAATATTTGAAAATTCTAAATACAAAGCTTTTATTTACAATCAGTATTCATTGATTTGAATATCTTTTATACATGTAAGTAATTATCCTGATGTTCACTAGTTAATGTGATTTGCAATCTGCAAAGAAGCTTGTATTATAAAAGCAATTTGTTTTTTAAATTATTTCTTGTTTATTAAATCAAAAATTGAAAAACTTAGCTACCTTTCTGTGAAAAAAAAAAAACAGTTTTCTAGGGCAACCCATGACTTTAGTAGAGACACAACACAGACATATAAACATCAGTATTTTGTGTATTATGTTGTGATGTGTGTATTGACTTGACTTGAAAAATATAAAAATAAAATCTCAAAAAAAACTTATAAGGAGTTCAAATTTAATTGCATGTACTAATGTCGAGTTTTACTTATACAGGTATTTGACCAACCCAATTTACCAGATTACATTAAAGAAATGGAGCAATGTGTTAAAAATCGTCTTTCCTCGCCGGTGGAGTCCCCGACAAACCAAACAACCCCTGCATTGTCCAGCTTCTCAAAGAGCCCTGAGAGATGGTCTACCAAGTTGAAAAATCCTAATACTCCCAATGCCTGTAAGAAGTGACTAATATTTACTGTTTTCTATCAGTACCTGATTGCTTTTTTTCCAGATGTAAATCAGCATGCTTCGATTTTTCTAGACAACACTCCTATGATACAGCCGGAAAGTAGATGGCTAGTTATAACCAGGCAGAAGATACTTGAGCTAGAAGGACCACATTTTTATTATAGACCTTTATTTACAGAGCCACCAGCAAAAGAAGTAAGACAATCTCCTATGCATTTTAAATAATATAACAAAAATTAGTTGATGACTAAATAAAGGATTTATATGTACATATGTAGATAATAATGTTGTCAATTTAGCAGTATATTGTCCAATGACACCCATTATATATATTTTTCTTGTAGATATTGACCTTACTAAATCAAATAAAGCAAGCAGTAATATCAGCGAATGATATCTTGAGGAATAGAGAAAAAGAAGAAAAAAGAATGTTCTCAGGCCTCTGGGGACTATTAACATATTTTGGCGATAATAGTGATGACGAATTCACGCTGGAAGAGAGAAAAAAAGTTCCAATTTTCTTACAAGTGGCCTTCAATCATTTAAAACACATGTTCGATGTTAAAACTGTAGTAAGTTGAAATTTTTTTATGGAACCAAAATAGTCTGAATTTATTTGTGGATGAAGTTCATTAGTTGAAACTGCTCAAAGCATGTTTACTGAGCAGGATGTCAAGACTAATCTATTCTGAATGCTTATATCTTCTTACTGCCCATAGTTTGAATACAGTTTGATCCGTAAACAGTTATTGTATACGAATGTTACATGTCACATCCAGACATCCAATAGACTTAACTGAGGAGCGAATGGTGTTCAAACTACTGGTCCGCAAGTAGGTGTTCTGCACACCTGTCAGGATGTCCAGAATTATCAGTAAAACAATCTGTTACATCAGAAAATATCTATGAAATATGTCGTGTAACTTGTTACTTTTTAGACCTCTATGTCAAAAGGAAATTAGACGCAAAAATAATCCAAAATAAATTATGATTTCAGTTTATTGAAGATGAGGCTGAACACTCATTTCAAGCCAGTGGTGCAAGCGCTTTGGAAATATCAAAGGATTCCAGATTTTTAACTCCACAGAGCAGGCGTAGGCTAGTGCGAACATTGAAATATGATGGTGATCCTGATTTAGAACGAACAAGATCCTATGAATATTCTTTCCTAGTCTGGTATTTATATGGAATTGCCGTAAAAATTAACAACAAAGTAAGTAGATTATTTTTTCTAAATAATTAGCTTTTTCACATAATTTTTTGATATGCTTCTGCTATAAATTTAGGGACCTTGAAATTGAATGCTTTTTATCCTATCTTTCTAAAAGAAAACAAATTTTAAAACATTTCTCAATTTTTCTTTCATTGTCACACATATTTCATATTCTACCTGTGTCTATAAGCTATACAGCCTCATAGCACCAGGCTTGTACTGCGGGCCTTGTGTAAATTTTAAGTGGATTTGAAAATTGAGAAAAAAAAAAACAAAAAGATTGTATGCCTACTTTTTTTTAGTATTGCCAACTTTTCTACGAACTTTACAACAAACCAGCTTACATGGGAAGATTCTTTCGTCGATTTCTTCTACCTCCGATAACTGTATACACTTACGATAAAACTATGATAGGATGTCCAAGAGTCAGCTCCCAACTACCGCCAAGAATTAGCTTCCGAACTTTTGCCCATCAACAATTCATATTCTATTTCCTGACTGGAGCAGTCGTAGCTTGGGCGTATGGTTACAACATATTTTCTTATGTGTTTATATTATCTATCAGTTTTCTACTGTATAATATGCTGAGAGCTATTCCTAGTGATGAAAGCCCTCCAATTAAGCACAATTATCCTACAGAAGGTTTTGGAAATATCAGCTTTGATGATTCCTTTTAAAATTTGTACTTGTTAGAATAGCTACATGGATATGAGATGATATTTGTATCCATTTTGTATATTTTTTTATAATATTTATATTTGGTTTTTTTACCAGTATTTTAAAAATGATCTGCATCAAAAGTAATCATAAAACAGGAAACTAAGTTTAACTATATCATTTTAAAGTGCTTGTGAAGTATTACTTACAAAAAAATAAACTGACGTAGGTACGTTTTCATTTAAGTGCCAAAATAGAATTAATGAAATATTTAAACCCTGAATATGCAAGGAAAAACTAACAATGTTAGAAAAATAGATTCCATATAATGTAATACTCAATACTGAAGATAATAAATAAAAAAAATTGTTGAATAAGCCTGTAATTTTATTCCTTTTTCCCCGCCAGTGCTAAACTTAGTATACAAAAAATGGTGTCAGGATCTTGTGGAAAAGAACAACAGCATGTTGGTGAGAGAAGGCATTCTGTGGCATTGGGGTGCTTTGTGAGAGTTCCAGATCAAGAAGTAGCGAAATCAAGGAGTGACGAGCATAAAGCCTTTCCTCTTTGACTCATAGTTTATCTATCCATGGTGTGGGGTGTGGCGGTTTATTCAACTTGCTATTTAGTAAAAACTTTTGCATTTTCTGGAATATAATTTCCATTTTTCTATTTTTGAAAATGTCAAAACTTTATGATAACTACAAAATATCGTTAATTTGGTAACTTCTGACTCAAGGAAAACAAACCTGTCTATTGGAATATTTTATTTAACTTGCAGATAGCTTTTCAACAAAGGCCATAAGCTTTCCTGTTCTATTTATTACCTTTTCCTAGATACCATTTTTTTCCCCTGCTTTTGCCAGTTCTCACCGATCAAATGGGTTGTCAGGAGTCTAGAAACGGTACGTACGATACATAAGAATAGAATTACCACAGTTCGTATGTATGCATGCCTTCCAATTCGGCGAATAATTTGCGCATTCGCCACAAAGCGAGGAATCATGCATTAAAAATAATGAGAGAAAGTGTATGTGTACTTCCTATGTTCCTGATAACCGATATGCACATAGCACCTTTTGCTTTGCCAAAGTTTGATTGTTTGAGGAACAGTCTGGTCCTTCGACGATCTATATATACTATGTGAATGTAGCAAAGTAGTGTTTAGTTCTAGCGGTTTCCTATGTTCCTATTACAAAATTTGGACTTATGCTTCCTTGCCTTTGTCCGACATAACCGTTCGCGAAAATTGACAAAAATAGATCGACAATTTTAATTTTGTTGCGTAAACAGTTTTCACTCCGTAATTTTGGGCCTTGTTCTTGTTGAAATTAAACTCTTTAACTTATAGTCCAAGCAGTAATTAGGTTTATTTGCCTGGAAATTGTTCTTGAAGTTTTGAAACTTGGTAGGTATTTGTATAGATTTTTTTTTTGTCAAAATAGGTATGAGAATTCCGGCAAATGCCAAATTTCGACGCGTTGATATTTTTTTCCAATGGATGAAACAGGTACCTACCAAGCTTTAGGGGCCATATCTCCTATATCTGACTATAAAATCGAGATGTTAGTTCAAGGTTGTCACCGCTTTAATTATGCAAATGAGGCTGTGAATCTGAATATAAAATCGATATGTTATTTATGTTAGTTAGTTCAAGGTTGTCACCGCTTTTGCATACATTAAGTGCTGACTCATAGATAGGCAATTACTTATACATAATTGAAGTCGGGTAAGTGTTTGGAAGAAGTCCGGAGAGGTCAGGAAAGGGCTGGATAAGGTCTGGAGAAATCTAGACAAGTCTGGATAAAGTCTGGACAAGGCTGGATAAAGTCTAGCCAAGTCTGGAAAAGTTTGGATAAGCTTGGATAAAGTCTGGAAAAGCCAGAAAATTTCTGGAAACGTCTGGAAAAGGCTCTATTAGGTCTGGAGAAATCTAGACAAGTCTGGATAAAGTCTGGAAAAATCTACCCAAGTCTGGATAAAGTCTGGAAAAGCCTGGAAATTTCTGGAAACGTCGGAAAAAGGCTGGATAAGGTCTGAAGAAGTTCAGACAAGTCTGGATAAGGTCTGGAAAAGTGTATTTGAAGTCGGGAAAGTGTTTGGAAGAAGTCCGGAGAGGTCAAAGGGCTGGATAAGGTCTGGAGAAATCTAAGACAAGTCTGGATAAGTCTGGATAAAGTCTAGCTAAGCCTGGAAAAGTCTGGATAAGTTTGGATAAAGTCTGGAAAAGAGCCAGAAAATTTCTGGAGACGTCTGGAAAAGGCTCTATTAGGTCTGGAGAAATCTAGACAAGTCTGGATAAAGTCTGGAAAAATCTAGCTAAGTCTAGAAAAGTCTGGATAAAATCTGGAAAAGCCTGGAAATTTCTGGAAACGTCTGGAAAAGGCTTAATAAGGTCTGGAGAAATTCAGACAAGTCTGGATAAGTCTGGATAAAGTCTAGCTAAGTCTGGAAAAGTCTGGATAAGTTTGGATAAAGTCTGGAAAAAAGCCAGAAAATGTCTGGAAAAGGCTCTATTAGGTCTGGAGAAATCTAGACAAGTCTGGATAAAGTCTGGAAAAATCTAGCTAAGTCTAGAAAAGTCTGGAAAAGCCTGGAAATTTCTGGTAACGTCTAGAAAAGGCTTGATAAGGTCTGGAGTAATTCAGACAAGTCTGGATAAAGTCTGAAAAAGTGTATTTGAAGTAGGGAAAGTGTTTGGAAGAAGTCCGGAGAGGTCAGGAAAGGGCTGGATAAGGTCTGGAGAAATCTAGACAAGTCTGGATAAAGCCCAGCTAAATCTGGAAAAGTCTGGATAAGTTTGGATACAGTCTTGAAAAGCCAGAAAATTTCTGGAAACGTCTGGAAAAGGCTCTATTAGGTCTGGAGAAATCTAGATAAGTCTGGATAAAGTCTGAAAAATCCAGCTAAGTCTAGAAAAGTCTGGATAAAGTGTGGGAAAGTCTGGAAATTTCTGGAAACCTCTGGAAAAGGCTTGATAAGGTCTGGAGAAATTTAGACAAGTCTGAATAAACTCTAGCTAAGTCTAGAAAAATCTGGATAAAGTCTGGAAATTTCTGGAAACGTCTGGAAAACGCATGAAAATTTCTGGATTGGGTCGGAAAAATTCTGGAAAATCTGGAAAGGGTTGAATTTTAGCGGATCTCAAAGCTCACAATAATCACAAGCATTAGCGTTGAAGTTTGCTTCGGCATTTTCAATGTTCTCCTCGGTTGCATCTTTGTGAAGGACTGTGAATTTTTTATTTATGTGACAATTCTCTGACAATATGCCTATTAGCTGTGCTATTAGATATTTCTCTGTAGATGGTTGTTTCTCAGAGCAAGGAAGTGGTTTAATATTTTTTCGAGTTCCAATAGAAGAATCTAGGTATGTATAGGGTTTTCCAATAGTAACGCTCGATGTTTGACAATAGCCCATGAAAAATTCGATAGTCACACAGGTGCTATCTTTGGCAGTCGTATTCAATTAGTCTCTGCATTTTATTATGGAGCGCTACACGATTGAGCAACGCGTCGGAATTGTTAAAAATTATTATCATTATCAAAACCAATGTTCTATTCGGAAAACGTTTCGTGCACTCCGTGCAATTTATGATGTCAACGATCGTCCTTCAGAATCCACAATTGGCCGACCTAACGTCACTGGATTTTTTTCTCTAGGCATTCTAAAATCCAAAGTCTATGTTGACAAACCTCGAACGGTTGCCGCCTTAAAGGCCAACATTAAGCACTTATTGCTGAAATTGAGGCATTTTTATGCGATAACGAACACTAAATGATTCTAACGGCAATCTAAAATTGTCGGAGAAATGTATTGATAATTCGGATATTGTTGAAAACATCTATGGAGAAGTAAAGTCCGTCGATTTTAATCTAATACTCGAAAGGAATGTGAGCTGGTGGCACCCTACATTTGAACGCCAATGGTCACCTAACGTCACCCTTGGTTTTTGCCATATACTTCACCCCCTCGCTCCTCATACCAAAAATTCGACGAACAATACTAAAAGAAGGAAGATTCAGGGACTTGACCAAATCTGCAATACTTTCTGCAAGAAATGTTGATGTCGAAGAAATAAACGAATAAGTTGTCGAACTGTTGGACGTCAAGACCGAAAAACTCTACACCAGCGGGCCGATCCTCGAGCCAGGGAGTAGAGCTCCTCGAGAGAACACATTTTTCGTCTTTATCATTCTCATTTACTTTTCGATTACGTTGGCAAAGACAAAACATTCGTTCTATCGGGGAGCTCTTCTCCCTGAGATGGCTCCATTTGTGCTACTGTGCATTTGTGCTAATCCGCAAATGGTCTACTCACGAACGCGATCGGCTATGGTCGGGATCAGTTAACATGATCGCGGAGGAGTACAAAGAGTAGTTGAAGGGTTTGTTTGTGTACGCGGCGGGCGCGCGGAACATCTGTGGTGTAATCAGCTGATGCTGATAAATAATAAAAATAAATTAAATGTTTTTGTATTTAATGAATGGTTGTGGACTTTATTTTTATTAACTACAGTAGAGCCAAGATTTTAGAAATATATACTTATTATTAAAGCGTAGAGTCTATACAGACATGTAAAATTATTTATAAATGTAAAGTTAATAATACATATACTTATCCAAAGTAGGTATCTCCCCAGATTTGAAATTGTATGTATATTTATTGATTTTCCAGAATATTAGGTCAATAAACCTAGCAGTCCCATTGTAGAAAAAAACGAAGGGATTGCTAGGTTTACATGAAATACCTATAGCAGTCCCCCGTAGTGAAAATATTTTTTTAAATTTTTCTTTGATATCAGAATTTACATAATAGGTACCTATACTTTTTAAAATGCTCCTAAATAGTCAAAGAAAAAATTGAATCAGTTAATTATTAACTGAATTACAGATTTTTTTTCAATATTATGAAATTCCTGGATTCAAGTTTACTTATGGTGGTGTGTTAGAGGCTGAAATGTTCCTGGATAGAAATTAGGTACTATTTAAGTGCTCCCAAATTGTCAACGAAACACTTGAATCTGTTAATTATTAAATGATTTATAGTTTTTTTTTCATTATTGGCAAATTATTGGCTTCACGTTTAGTTGGTGCTGTATCAGAAGCTAAAATGTTTATGGATAGGAATTAGTGCTATTTAAGTGCTTATATTTGAAGAAAAACTTGAATCAGTTAATTATTAACTGAAGTAGGTACAGATTTTTGTTTTTCATTATTAAGGAATTGCTGGCTTTAAATTTACTTGAGGATGTCTTGCATTGCAGCGAATCTGATAACTGTGACTAAAATGCTGTTGTATTGGAATTTGGTGCTATTTAAATGCTCCTAAAAAGTTGCAGTTTTTCTTCGACCATTCAGGAGCACTTAGATAACA